TAGTGGGTACTGTTTTACATATGCCAGTGGTATTGTAAGCTGGGAATCTAAGAAACAACGAACTGTGGCTCTCTCAACCGCAGAGAATGAATATATGGCATTGACCGAAGCAGCTAAGGAAGCCATGTACTTACTACAATTGTGTGAAAATCTTGGAATTGATCAAAAGGTCATGGTCTTATATAATGACAATCAGGCAGCACAACAGTTAGCAAGAAATCCGATTGTGGACAAACGTTCGAAACATATTCAAATAAGAAGACACTTTATTAAAGAAAAGGTGTCTGAAGGTTTCATTAAGCTGCAATATAAAAGAACCGATGAATTAGAAGCTGATATGTTCACTAAGGCTTTACCAGGTCCCAGTCTAATAAAGATTATTAAGAACCTTGGCCTCGACCCTTAGTGAGGAGGAGTGATGGAACAGCATTAACAGTTTACTTTTTGTCTATGTTCTATCTTTCTCTTATCTCTGCTCACGTCAGTGTCTGAAGCAATTGAATATATTTTACGTGATTTAAATTCTCCAAAATAAATATCTTATTTGTAGTTACGACCATTCAACAATAATTATAACATTGCAAGATTTGGAACGTTTCCTGTCGAGTAAAGGAATATTGTTATCTGTATCCATCACATTTTTCTCCCCTATACAAATGTTATCGTACATGAGGTACACAACGTCCCGGGTCGTCGGGAGGTTTCTCCCCTATAACAAAAGTTAATAAAAAACTTACCTACACAGAAGAACTACAGTAAGTAACTATATACACAAACTAAATAACTATTTATATACAATATAAAACAAAATAAGTCGTCTGATCACATATAACTTAATTATTCAGTAATAAAAACTCGAAAACACGACCGCCAGAATCGAATTTTCCCGCGTTTTTTTTCACCACTTTACAACTTGATTGGTTTTTTTTTTCTCTTATAGTTTGGCACTAGCCTTTGGCCACATGCAATTTCCACTGAGTTGCAAATTTTTGATAATTCTTCCAAATAAATATTTTCTTCTTCTTTTAAACGTTATGGCCCCATCGAAATAATCCATGATTTTGCCAATGTCAAGTAAAAATAACTATGTACGGTAGTTTAATATTATTATAAAAAATATACAAAATAATGGCGATTTCGCCAATGTCCTGTAGTTTACCGTCCAAATATTATCTTGCTTCTTGAGATTTCAGGATAATTATGTTTGTCAAAACTGAAAAGAGAATTTGTTCGTTTCATCGTGAAATGTCACATTTGAAGCCAGTGACAGTGATGACAGCGTGTATATTAGAGGTGGGTAAATTTGTTTTTCCATCCTCTAAGCTAAAAACATATCATTTTTTTTCTATCCTCTAAGCACTGCATGCTTAGGATTGTATTCCAGAACTCTACTCATTGCTCAAGTTACGACATGAGTATGATTTAAAGCACTAGAAATCATACTCAAGTCCTTGCCATTAGAGTCGTATTTCCAGTGCTTGAAATCATACTCATGTCCTGACTTGAGCATTGAGTATAGTTCTGGAATACGATCCTTAGAGGATGGAAAAAATAAAGGAAACTACACCCCTACCTTTTTTGCACTATGCACAATACATTTTCAATTTTTCATGCAAACTTAACTTTCTGAGATTTCGCACGTTTTTCTATCAAATATTATGGAAATAATATATAATAATACTTTTTAAACTTTGTGAAAACGTCAAAATAAAAGATAAGGAGCCGGACAAGAGGCACACAAAAAGAAATTGTAAGGAACACTATGATTTATAATATATACGTTACACGAAATACATACACGGAATAATATATATATACCATTTAATTTTAATGAACAAGAACCTAAATTTTTTTATTGGCAATCAGGTTACAAATTACTAACAGGAACACAGAACAGCTGATTGTCATCAAACAATCAATGTCATAAATTGATCAGCCGCTTCAGCCAGCACGGCGTGATCATGAATTAAAAAAAAAATATTATTTACCTGTCTTATTTTAAAATTATATCTTTTATTGATAGAATTTTCTATCTGCATTCTACTACTATCTACATCTATCGAAAATTCTCTATCTACATTACATTACTGTATCTATGTGAGGTTATGTAAAGTAGAGGTTATGTCACATCACTGGGACATAAAATATAATCTCTACTCTAATTTATCATAATTTACATTAAATTATGTCGGAGAAAGCAACGGCTGCAAAATCAGAAATAGTAGACCAAAGCGAACGAGTCGATGAGACCGCTCCTACTGATATTGAACCAGAAGATAAATGGCTGGTTAGTTTGTATCAACTTCTATTATTAAATTTATTTATCCATTTTTTTTGTATAATTTTTATAATAATATTAAACTACCGTACATAGTTATTTTTACTTGACATTGGCAAAATCATTGCTTATTTCGATGGAGCCATAACATTTAAAAGAAGAAGATGATATCAAGTCATTCACGAGTAAATATATTATTATAATTGCATACTCACGAGTAATAAAATTGGACAACTAACTAAACAAGTAAATTTGGAAGCCAATTTTTTATCTTTTCACACTTAAATTTAGTTTCCTAAAGTAATGTGGGACTTATAAAGAATCATATAAAAATTCTTGGCAATATGTGTTAATATAATGATCCTAGCTCCATTATTATCAAAATAATTTCAGCAATTAATGCTATCCTATTAACTGCCAGATTTTAATGCCTATAAGTGTTTATACTCGTGGTATGTTTAAATAACGCACAAATTATATCATGGTAGGTGTCTTATGCATGAAGTACACACATGTGTACTGCCATGCTTACTATAAGTATGGTAAGTCTATATGCATTACAAACATACTTACTGTTAACATTGTAAGCAGGGCAGCATACTTCATAATCATTCCTAAAGTAACTTAACACTTTGAGTAGAACTGACACTACTACACATAAAAAGGGATCTGTAATAAAGGCATATTGAACAATACAAATTCGAAAGGTATTCACAAGGTATAAGGTACAACTTTCATCAAAGAATTTTGAAAATTGAAATTTTTTTTAAATACTTGCCTTTTCCACAGATCAGAGATTGCGATCTCTACAAAGATGAGTACAAAGAGTGTACAAGCTTCCGAGGTAGATTCCATCAGTACTTCATATATGGTCAGTCCCTTGACTGCAACCAGTGGAAACATGATTATAACAACTGTTGTAAATGGGTTGATGACAATGATTTGAAAGCTGCAGTAAGTATATATTTTTTATCCTCCACACACGCACATATGGAATTGGTGAAGGAAAACATTGTTATGAAACCTGCACATCAAACAAAGTTGAAAACCCTCGTAAACGGCAAGCTGGCAAGACTATGGCCTAAATCCTTGCCGAGACTTGTGCCCAACAGTGGGACGTATAAATAGATCGATGAAGATGAGGATACTCATAATATTATCTCCAAACTCACGTTATGCATCTTCTGATTTTACAGGTAAAATACTGTTACCCTTGTTGAACTGTTATGAATTGGTTATAAAAGTTAATAGACTTTTTAAGTTTAATTTCAATTTAATGGACCTGTTTACTGTTACTGAACAGTCATCCTCAGAGGCTATGCAAGTTCTTAGTGTGCTCTTTTATTTTAAAGTTACATGAACAGAGTGTAATTATTTTACAATTACAAATACAGTTGACTAAATATTTAATTAAGACTATAATACAAAACACTGTACACAGATTGATAAAATAAAAATTTGTCTTAGTGAAATTATTAAGCGATAGAAAGAAATAAATAATAATATAATATAAATAAAATGGTCAAAAACACGCTACTCTAAGGGAGATGCGCAAATAGGTTTTTGTGTGTATTTATTTATTCAATCTGAAGTATCTAAATGGGCATTCTGCTCATGTTCATCAGAAGCATGACACATTGTTACTTAAACATTTTTTTATTGATTTTCACTGTAAACTTGTCAAGCTCGTGTGTGAGTTGTCAAGATGCGTATTTAAAAACACTATTAATTAAAAGCTATTGGTTACTTATTACGTTATTCAGGAAGCGCTAGTAAAAAGTGAAAGACAGCGACGATATGAGCGGCTAAGGGCACATTATCAAAATGACACTTGGAAAAAACGATCGGAGCCCCCATCAGACTGGAATAAACCTCTGCCAGAGTGGTTAGTCACAAGAGACGAAAACACATACCTCGCACAAAAAGCTAAGGACTTAAAAGAAGGCAAAGATGATGTTGATGAGCGTAGTTTTTGTAGCATTATGTGATTTATGATGTTTGATAAATTAGATTTAGTTACAAAACGTTTTTTTATTACATTGTGAAATCAGAGTGAGGTTCTGATTTTAAAGTATATTTTGTTTTATTTTATAACGTAGTACGTTTCGTACGAAATTTTGGAATGTCCACAATAATAGGTGTGGAACCCCAGCCTGCGTCTATTCCCCGGATGATGGGAAAAGTGAAGGCGGAATCGAAATAAATCGTGCAATTCCATCGCACACTCCCGTCAAATAACCTGCAGAATACCGATAAGCAGCAACTAAATCCATATATTTAACAAGCATACTTTTAAAATTCAAAATTGTTTATTTCAGCGTTGACAAAGTATATGCTTTCATAGAATTCTCACAGATGGCGCTACGGCAAATGAGTAGTTAAAAACCAAAAACAAAGCACTTAAAACAATTCGTAAGATCCTGTATAATAATAGCGCCTGTCACGGTTTGCTGGAAGACGTTGGTTCGTATCCTACCGGATCCAACGCTTTTTTTGTATGTTCGATCTTAATTATAATAAACTAGTGGAGTCATTTCACAAAAATAATTGAATATCATGGTGGTTAAACATCGTGACATTCAATAAACTCAAAAAAAAGTATAAGTGCTTAAATCAAAATGATAAAACACTATTATTTATACATAATTTGATTAATCAGTCATAAGCAACGTACACTTTGAGAAAAAGAAACTCGTAGGAGTTGCTTTTTGTAAATAGTTTAATAGAGATTCATAAAAGTGAACAAATCAAATGCAATTTTTTAAAAATTGTAATTGTTTTGTTGTAGAAGCAGCCTCAAAGTGTTAAATGTATCACTCCCATTGATTTTTATAATCCAAGAAAGTATGCAGTAGCTGTAATATGTACCTATAATTTTTTTTTACCGATAGTTTATTTCATTTACGAGGTTTACCTCATAAATAGCTAAAATAACAAATTTTGAATGTCAACAGAAATTTTATAACTTATATTGACTCCAAATGAATACGTGACAACGATTGTTTGTTTTTGTTTGTTAGAAAATATAGATATAATTTGTCTATCACTATTTTACAAAAGGTACTACCATGTATGATCTATGGGTACTACTAGTCTTCTTAACATGAATTACGTTTTCATAAATTTTCTGGGACATTGGAGTGAGAAAGTTACCAACTTATCTTTTATTTACGTTCTGGTTCGTAAATTACCCTAACGGCATGCTTCTGCAGGATAAATATAACTAAATGTTGGCGGCATTTCCCGAAACCAAAACCGAGCGTACGTTGTCAAACAGTAAAAGTAAGTAAAATAAGCCTATGTAACTGTTTTTATGTCTAAAAGTTTCGCTTTTTTTATTGCGTACCTACACTGCAGAACCGAATCGTCGCGACAACTTAGTTTTTGTAGACTGCATTGCAATTTATAGTAACATGTATGTACATATATTCTAAGTGTGATGACGGTAACTATACGTTTAATATTATAAGTACCGATCGAAGTCTTCCACAATTTGTTTTTTCTAAAGTTTAATGTAAATCAATCTACCACCTACCTAGGTACTTGCTGCCTTTGATTTTTTTTTCTTAATGTGCCAGACAACCACACCAATTAGGTGTTTGGTCTCAATCTAGGAAATTCCCAGTACTATGAGTACCAAAGCAACAGAATTCACTCATCCAGAGCACCCAGACCAGAACAAATTTCGAAAAGTTCATTTCTCATATTGGTTCTACCGGAAATCGAACCAGCGACTACATCCAGCGCCCCCAGTGCACACTGTTGGGCCACCGAGGTCATCATACATTATTAATCAATGTTCACGTCGCGTCGTCATAGGCACATTGATGCCTTTTTATTAGTGCTATCAGCAAACAATGCTATCTCATGCTCTATAGACACCTCCTTGAAACTAGGTACGTAATTAATTTAAAAACAGAAATGGACCTACAATTGAACCCTGAGGTACAACCATGCTAACGGTAGGCCTTGATTGCACCGTACCGTTGACATTGGTATCATGAAGAACCGACCGTCTCGATTCTATCTTGAGTTACCTATATATAGGGTTTACCATTTAACCAATTAAGTAGGTCCAGATCAGGGCCATCTACGCCATCATTAGCGTCCCGTAGATTGTACCAACCACCGCGAATCTAAGCTAATCTCACCCATCTATGTCCTGCTACTAACGACGTTATCTAGTTATCTCGCCACAGGATCTCGCACGTTTCTTTAGCGCTTCTTGCCCACCATTCGGTTGCCCAACTGTCATCACCACGTCACGCAATATGTCCTGTCCAGCTCCATTTTAGCTCTATTATACGATCTTCATGTATATAAGAATAATAATATAAAGCAATAATAATACATATAAAATAATTGTTTATGTTAATGTGCTTTGCTTATGCGGCTTTGTTTTATAGAAAACACACCATTATCAATACGTTTACTAAGAACACATCCTAAATAGGGAACAATTAAAAACTATACAATCAATTGCTATAATGGAAAGACCGTAAAGTTCAGCTATATTTTTTTCAAGCTATTAATTAACCGACTTCAAAAAAAAGGGGAGGTTCTCAATTCGACTGTATGCTTTTTTGTATGTATGTTACGAGAAAACTACAACATTTGTGAACCGATTTTGATGATTCTTTTGTTTGAAATAGGGTATCTTAGTAGTGGACCCATTTAAATTTGAAGAAAATATTCCACCTGTAAGGGTGGCAAACTAGAGGATGATTGACTTTTGTGGTCGGCTTTTTTTAAAGTTTAAATAATGTCTCTTTACCTACTCGAAACCGAAATCTGAAATTGACATGACTAACTCCAGTATTTTCTTTAGGATTTAGAGACTGTGTGAGACTAAGTAATTATTTAAATTCGATAAAGTTATTGATGAAACAGGATGTAAGAAGCATCGTTAATGGCCTGTTTATTATTTATCCATGAGGTACTTTTATGGATAAATATAGTCGTTAAATTTGTCACTCCTTTTCGCAAGGACACTTAATATTACTACATTTTATATTGTTATGAATTGAATACCACTCCCCTTCGCCAATAACACGTAATATTTCTACATTTTATATTGTTAATTGTTATGAATTCAATACCAGATAAGGTCTTGACCTAGCAACTGAGTTATCATAGCGATAGCGCTTTTGCCTTTTAATTGTTCACAAATACGATAAATGTGTTTACTCCGGCCGGCGTAGTATCTACTACTACTTTAATATAGTCAGCGGCGGTTGAAAGTTGTGTTACAGATGAGTCGCGTACTGTGTCAACGTGTGTTGTCTCTCAGGTTAATAAGAATATCAATGGCTCGCAGTGCTTCTTTTCTTATTAACGATCCCAAATACTCCTTTTTATCTGAGTTGGGATTGAAAGACAGGAATGTTGGTGTGTTCAACGGAAAGTGGGAGGCGAACGGCCAGGTAAGAAGTAATTGAAATCAATTTCAACGTAGTTTACACAGAATTCGAATGGATGCATTTGTACAAAAGTGAGGCGTGTTTTTGGAATTCATTATTACACAGTAGGTATGTCCTTGTGCTCGACTTCATGTTCTTCATGTGTTATTTGTTCATACGATCGCATTTGCTTTTCCAGAATGCAATAAGTAGATACTGTTTTTGTTTTCTTTTACTACAGATAGAACGTCCTAATATTTAAGTAGGTAGCTATTACAGTACCTATGTCATATAAGCAAGAATAATACAGCTTTTATTTTAATTGGGCAGTAAGCGGAGAACATTGATCGGAGAATAGAATAGCCGATGGGGCAAAAGAGTTCTCGAATGGCGACCGCGTATCGGAAGAAGCAACGTGGGCAGACCACCTGTAAGGTGGGCCGATGATCTAGTGAAGTTTGCGGGAACCCGCTGGATTCAAGCAGCGTAAGACCGGTCATTGCACTTATCTTTGGGAGAGACTTATGTTCAGAAGTGAATATCTTTCGGCTGAACTAATGATGACTATTTTATTTATGTGTACAGTAGTCGACTAGCAAAATTTCTGTACATACGCGTAATTATACCATATACATATTTATTCTTGCAATAGACGATCCAGTCATATAGTCCAGCGCACGGCAAGGTTATAGCAGAAGTGCAAGCAGCCAGTCCCTCCGACTATGAAGCTTGTGTCACAGCAGCAGAGCAAGCCTGGCACGAGTGGGCTGAGCTACCTGCTCCGGTCAGAGGAGAAATTGTTCGACAGATAGGAGACGCCCTTAGAGACAAATTGGATCCTTTGGGGAAATTGGTATCGTTAGAAATGGGTAAGTAACACTCTGAGACGAAATTTGCGAGCAAAAATGTAAAGGTACTATTGTCACTGTAAAATTGACTTCTCATACATAGATAGATAAGACGTTTATTCAGCACAAATACAAACAGAAACAAAACATTTCACAAAGTATACCTATAACACAAACGCACATAGAGCATAAAACATTAATTTAATACACATTTATATAAAACACATACTGTGAGAAAAACAAATAAATACTGTGAGAAGTGAGAACTAACAAAATTTGATGTAAGACTACAGTTTGTGCTGAAAGTACCCTAAATCAGCATAAATACTGTAGACTGTGAGAAGTCAGACAGTGCTGGTTTCGTTTTCTGCCAGTAATGTCAGCAAAGTGCATCACACGCAAATACACATACCTAACTCAAAAACTATATGTATATGTATCAAGTAAAAATGTAATATATAAAGCAAATAATGTAAGTAGTGTAATGTAGGTAAGTAATATAAAAAATAATTACCTAAGTTATTGCTACAAAAATAATATTAATTATAACAATACCCACTAAATATGACCAACTATATTTATTCCGAAATTCAGATATTTAGATTTACAGGTATCAAACTCCTCGATTAAGGAAATATGAAAAGGCAAAAATGTTTTTTTTTTATATTCACGCTTAAATCGTAGTTTATTTTTTATATTTATTATTTCACAAATCCATCACCAACACTTTTTCTAGTTCGTTTGTTAACAAGTACTACTTTCGAAATTAAGAGAAAAAAATATTATGATAAAATATCCTTGTATACACGTTAATCAATTTTACTTTTAAGAATCATTTTACCTAAGTATGTACCTATATAATTTTTCGATCAAAAGCTGATTTTTAATTTTTTTTTTATTACATAGGATGTTTAAAAAAATAACGTTCTAATACTAAGTATTTTGTTTCTACGCACATTATAAAATAATCATGTTTTTTTTAAAACCATTTCAAATTGCACAAATCTTAAAATGGTTTTGTAATGCATCACTTGTTTACGCGTTTGATCTCAAATTCCATCGTTGAGAATAGGTTCAACTATCCGGCTCGAAGGTTCATAGGAAAAGGTTATTTTGTAAATCTTTGTAATGAACGAAACCATACTTAAACAACTCTTTAAATAACTCTTGAAATAGATAAGTATACTATCTCTGAATTCTATTGATCATTGACTCCTCAATGTTATTCGGTGAACTTTCTGATACCCAGGGAAAATTCTACCCGAAGCGATTGGTGAAGTTGTGGAGTACATTCACGTATGCGATCTGGCTCTCGGGCTATCACGTAGTCTACCTGGAACCATTTTCCCGTCTGAACGACCAGGGCACGTGTTGCTGGAGAAATGGAACCCTCTCGGTACCATTGGTATCATCACAGCATTTAACTTCCCTGTCGCTGTGTTCGGATGGAACAGTGCTATAGCCATGGTTAGTTTTAACGTACTATGAATGTCGTAAGCTTGTCATACCTATTCATTTTACCTTAATCTCTGTAACATTGCCTAACTGCCTCCGTCGTCGAACAATTATCATGCTGGACTGCCACACAGAGATCCCGAGTTCGATTCCCGGGCCCTGAGAAATATTTGTACGGCTAAAATTAATTTATTTCTCTCGTGAGTTTGGGTGTAATTTGGTTGTCTATGCGTGTGCCCAATGGCACCCGCGATACAGGGTTTCCCAAGTGCGGGGCTACGAGTGTCTGCGTTATGTTATTATTATAACATACAAAGGAAGCAAGTATGGAAATTTCAGTGATTTCTTTGTTGTAGATATTTAAATCATTCACCGCCTATTAATTGGTGTTTATCTAATCAGTACCTACCTCTAGTCGACAAAACAAACTATCTTTAATATATATTTTTAATCTTGAGGTATGTGGAGATTCAAGTGTATGGAAGCCGTCAGAGACAACGTCTTTGGTAGCAGTAGCTGTTACAAAAATTGTCGAGAGTGTGCTGAAGAAGAACAACGTTTCTCCAGCCATCGCTTCGCTATGCGTGGGTGACAAGGATATTGGAGAAAAACTAGTCAAAGACCCAAGGATGAAACTCGTGTCTTTCACAGGCAGTACTGCTGTTGGACAGCAGGTAGGTAAAGTTACATACCTCTACAAAGAACTCCATTAACTTTTAACTCGGTTTATAAGTAAGTTTGAACACGAACTAGGGAAGTTGGAAATTTAACGGATTGATTTAAGTTCTAAGTGGAGAGAAGGCGAAGGCAGTTCGCTGCTCGCCTGATTCCCTAGCGAGGCCAGCAGGCTCTGGACAGGGACTCCGGAGCTTGCATTGCACGGCCTCACTCGTCTGGGGGGCGGGTCGGAGGACAACTGTCCTGCCCCTCCGTTGGCGCTAGCTAGGGCGGCCGGGCGGCGTCGTCGTGAATGTGCACCGACCACACGGCTCAACCGGCGGGAGGTAAACCCGAGGGGGTTTTAGTGGGGTAGGCCCTCCAGCCTGGAGGGAGAGTCCCCACATAACCCCTGAGTCTCCCTGGGCTCAGGGGTATCTATAAAAACCCCCCCCCCCCCCCCCCGTACAAAAAGGTAGGTAAAATTACATACCTTTACAAAGAACTCCATTAACTTTAACTCGGTTTATAAGTAAGTTTGAACACGAATTAGGGAAGTTGGAAATTTAACTGATTGATTTAAGTTCTAAGTTTTTAGGAGCAGCAGAGCTCCCCGTGAAAGAGTTCGACCAGGGTTGTACTGCCACCTTATCTATTTCTGCCGCCAAGCAGTATTGTCAGCATTACTATGTTCCGGTTTTCAAGGATAAGGGTGCTAGTGAAATTACAGGAACATGGGACTTGTCAACTTGTCTCAGGGTGACGGGCGCAGTGACAGTGCCCCTAAGTCTTTGCGATTAAAAGCTCTAAGCGGCACTACAACTGTTATGGACAAGCGGGTTATAAAAAAAAAATTGTTTACTTGCGCAGGATGCAGTATTTATTCTATTATTATAGGTAGGCGTAGAAGTTCAAAAGCGCTTCGGACGCCACCTCCTCGAATTGGGAGGCAACAACGCGATCATCGTGAATGAGGATGCAAACTTGGACTTACTCCTAAACGCCGCTTTGTTTGCTTGTGCCGGTACAGCTGGACAACGATGCACTACCACTAGGAGACTGATGATCCATAAGAAGGTGAAATATTTATACAATAAGTATAATAATAAACTATCGAATTCTTGGGTTTTCGCGATTGCCATCTAGGTACAATTTGGAATTGAAACTATTTTTTTATGCTCAGTCCGCCGTAACCATGGGATTTTATAGTAGCAGTAGAGTTCCTGGTGAAAGAGTTCGTCCAGGGAAGTAGTCCCACCTTAATTATTTCTGCATGACTGCATGAAGGCGTTATCAACCTTATGCAGTCGTTATCAACTTCATGCAGTCGTTATCAACTTCATGCAGTCGTTAACAACTTCATGCTTCAATTTCATAAATCTAAAACTACTTGGAGCATAATAAATAAAGAGTCAGGCAGGGTTAAACTACACGATAGAGATATAGTTTTAGAATTAGACAGCAAACTTATAAAATGTAAAGATAAAGTAGCCCAAGATTTTGAATCGTTCTTTTCGGAAATTGCTGTGAACACTACAAAATCATTAAATTCCTCCCCTTCACTTGCTATTGATCTCTTAAAGGAAAATGTTAACGTTTGTGGCAGTTTATTTAATTTTCGTCATGTTAATCCACAAGACATCATAAAAGCTTTTAATTCAATACATGCTAAAAAAACTGAAGATCTCTGGGGCATATCAACTAAAGTTATAGACTCAGTTATTAATCTCATGTCCCCACATTAGTTTACTTTAGTTACTTCCATAGTATAATGTCCTACGGGATTCTCATGTGGGGTAAAGCGGCAGATATTCAAACCATATTTGTATTGCAAAAACAAGCGATTCGTTCTGTGTACCGTCTAGGCTCTCGGGTATCTCTCAGAGAAAAGTTTAAGGAGACTGGTATCATGACTGTGGCATCACAGTACATTTACTCAAATATTTTATATGCCCGTAAAACTATACATAATTTCAATAAGAAAGAAGATATCCATAATATTAACCTTAGAGCTAAGTCCAAACTCATGGTACCACGATTTCGTTTAACCAAGGTAAACAACTCTTTTATGGGGAACTGTATACGTTTTTACAATAAGATTCCGGAGCATATATTAAGTTTATCATTTCCTAAGTTTAAAAACTACATTAAAAATATTTTGATCGAAAAATCATATTACAAAATTGAAGACTACGTGTTAGATAAAGATGTATGGAAAGACGACATGGCTCCGGAATCCACATAAATTTGATTCAAAGTGTATTCCATAGCATTTAAGTTTATTTGAAAAGAGCAATCCCTAGAGTTTCTTGCTCGTTCTTCTCAGGGAGGTCAGCGTAGTGAACGAGCAGTAGCTTAAATGTGACGTTTTCAAGTGTAAATTTATTTTACCTATGGAATAAATAATCTTTGACTTTGGCTTTGACTTTGACTTTGATGCAGTCGTTATCAACTACATGCAGTCGTTATCAACTTCATGCAGTCGAGGTGTCGACTGTATGTAGTTGATTACGACTTCACGCATTAACTGCAAACATGCAGTCAATCTGTTAGAAGTTCAAGTACCATAATGATGCCTCTCGTCTTTTATGAATTTGAAATGTTACGATTGGAGGATCCAAAAAAGGAGAAACTTCTCAATTCGTCTGTGTTATTTTGTGTGTATATTCCCGATTTCAATAAAAGTTGGCACGTAGGTATAATTCCAATTAAAATAAAATGTTATGAATTAGATGATGGAAATAGCAGACAGACGAGAGGAACTCCTCAACAGAGTACAGCAGCTTCTGTTTGGGCTCATATGATACATTTTGAGGAGGACTTCCATGTGTTTCAGTTATCGATGAAGACCTCACGGTAACGAACACAGCTAAAGAGAATAAGCAAACTTTTGAGATCAGTTTGCTTTATAAAAAAAGTTGTAATTAACAATTCCTGTTTGTATAGGTATACAGCGAAGTAGTAACGAGGTTAACAAAGGCATTCGCTGGTGTAGTGAGCAAGATCGGCGATCCGTTGCTCCCTGAAACTCTAATTGGCCCTCTGCATACACCCAACGCTGTTGAGGCTTACAAGAAAACTGTAGCTGAAATCGTGAAACAAGGAGGCAAGATCGAGTTCGGCGGAAAAGTAAGGGCCAGATCATATCAATCGACGCATTTTACTAAATAAATCTGAGAGATAAAAACAAATTTCAATATTTTTAAAGGCTCACATGGGCTCACTAGCCAAAATAAGATTGGAGGTAGGATTAAAGGTGTTAGTATTTTTCTTCTTTTTGTGCAGGTTATCCAACGAGAGGGCTACTTCGTGGAGCCCACCATCGTCACAGGCTTGGCGCACGATTCGCCGCTAGTGAAGACGGAATGCTTCGCACCTATCGTGTACTGCATCGAAATTCCCGATATGGAGACCGGCATCAAATACAATAACGAAGTTGAGCAGGGACTGTCTTCCAGTCTATTTACAGAAAATTTGGGCAATATCTTCAAGGTGAGACAAAACAGATTTGTAAATTGTTATTTCATAATCTCAGTACAGAGTAAAAGTAAAAAAACCGACCACAAAAGTCATTCATCCCTTGAGTTTACCAAGAGGTACCCTCTTTCCAACAAAAAAAGAATCATCAAAATCGGTTCACAAAATGTAATGCCGATAAATAACGTTATCGCGTTACATAAAAAAACAGTCGAATTAAGAACCTTCTCCTTTTATGAAGTTGTAACTGATTTCGGTTTTCATTGAGAAAGCGTCAGAACAAAAACCGATAATTCACATTTTATCACACACGCGCACAATTTACAAATATCCTGTATTGCCACAATGACACTGACATAAATAACATGTTAAGCCAAAACATAAACAATCAATAAACGGTACGCCAAACATGTCAGAGGGCAAAAGGAGGTGTCACAGCTTGTGCGGCCTGAAACTGTTGTTGTCGCACACAGCGCTGTTTTTCAGCCACCACCTTGTCCCTAAGATCTTAGGCGGGCTTAAAAGCAACGAAGGCCTAAAAACAATTATAAAATTTTGAAACCCGTTATTCTATATTATTTAATAATTCAATATTATTATACATACAGTAGGTGAAAATAAACTAATTTTAACGAAAAAAAAACAACAAAAATAAGAGAAAAAGAAACAACATCAATAGGTTTACTCTAAGCAATACTATGTGTGTGTATGAATGTGTGTTTGTGTGTGCGTGTGTGGTATTTATTACTTATATGAGGTACAAAAAAAATTTAACTTGTTCTTTTTCAATGCCAAACGAACCGTCGTTTCAACGCGAAACGAAACGTACAAACCTAAAACTCCGTAGTTTTTGTACGTTTCTATGAATAACTTATCCAACCTCAACAGCAACAATTAAATCCTCTTTAAAAGTACGTTTCAAATGCACGAATATAAACACAATGTGATAAATCGATTCAAGGACTAGACGAAATTAGAATCGAAATTTATCGGATTTTGTTGCTCTATTCCATGACATCCATGTTGGAGGAGACGGTGCCGTGCATTATTACTTTTTTATGATGCCATGTGTACAGTCAACAGCATATAGCAATAATAAAGGTTTTGCTTTCTGAAACGTATGTTTCGCAGTGGATTGGACCCCACGGCTCAGACTGTGGCATTGTGAACGTGAACATCCCGACAAACGGCGCGGAAGTAGGCGGAGCCTTCGGTGGGGAGAAAGCCACTGGCGGCGGTCGCGAGTGTGGATCAGACTCTTGGAAAAACTATATGAGACGCTCCACTGTCACTATCAATTATTCAGGTGCTATTAAACTAGCACAGAACATTAAGTTTGGCGATGAATAACGATAATGTATAATGTTTTTAGACATACATACACTCTGTGTAAATGCGAATATAGGTTGATTGACAGACTGTCTGAAATTAAATGTTCCTTTATAAAGTATGAACATGCTTACAGGATTTAAAAAAACATAGTGTCTGATGAATTTAGTATGCCTAAATGAAGACTGATATATTTCTTTATAAATAAAATAAAAGATTATATTTCATAATTTATTCTTTTGATTTCTACGTCGCGTCATCGTATCGAATATTTGTTTACAATTATACAATGATTAATGTTTAATTTTTCATATTTGCGCACTCAAATTTTTTTTTTTAACCTAATTCAATTTCGCAAGAACCACATTTCTCGGACTTCTGAAACATCGCATTAAATTATTTGAATTAAAAAAGTAGAGATGAAACATTTGCAACATACAGGCATTATACTTCTATATTACAGACGTCGCGCGTCGGCTAAATTTGAAAACCACGTAACTCCGTTTTTGGACGAAATGTCTTTTTTACCCTTCAAGCTTCAACAATATCTGGCAATTAACGCTTAAAATATAATTTGTAGACCTTTTTCAAATTATAAAATAAAGGTATAATCATAGATTGTAATATAATAATTTCTAGTAATCCTGTTTTTGTGTCTACTCGAAATTCACTGGAGGTTCCGAGGTTTACAAATTTAGACAATGAGATGATTGCTTTAACATTGTGTTGTATTTTAGCCATATTTTAGCAGTCTTTTCTTTTCTATAAATGTCAAAGACTGGCGTTATGAAGTAACGCCAGTATACTCTTCTATACTCTATTTCCAACTAAGGTAAATATTTATTTCATCAAGGAAATAACTGTTAAATTTTGTAAAATAAAAGGATGTAAATAAAGATAACGTAGGTAAGATAACATAGCGTAACTATAAATGCAAATTGTGTATCCGCCAGAGGTCGACTGCAATATCGCGAGATTGTTGCCGGTGGAACTTGTATGTCGCTGGAAGGTCGTAACGTAACTCTGCTACTACACTGCCCTTTACACCCCACTCTTTGATCTTCTTTTGTATGTGGGATCTGTTGGGAAAATAGTAGAAAGCTATATTAGAAAAATATTTATTAACTAAGACCGTATCCATGACCGTGTGTTAATTGTCTAAGATTGTAGTACTAAGCATCTTTGATCCATCTATTAATGCTATGAAACAATATAATAATCTAAAAATTGTTATTACACGAAAATACGGTTTTCCCTATTGTATACCATAAGTCATGTTTTTACCATAATTATGATGTTTACAAAGCAGGTGACCTTGAATAATATCACACAGACAAGAGCTCCACGTCTGCACCGCACTAGTGCGGCACTTCACATGGCTAGTTAAAAAACGGGGTGCACAAAAGGAGCCTCCACGCACGACATACCATTCCTTTCCTGTATGTCTGGCAAATACTTTCACCACAATGGCAAGCATTATAGTGTATGCTAGATATGGCAAAAATGGCTGTTTGTTAATAATTAATTATTCTGTTACGTGATTTTTCAACAAATGTTATTGTACACTGTTGACAGCAAAACCATAGAATAACATTTGTTGTTTCATAGTTTTGCATACAATATGACAATTTTCTTATTATTATTAGGGTGGTTTCATTTGGGGCATATGCAGCCCCTCAAGACTGCGGCCATCAACTGACTTATTGTGATTACCATTCATTACAGTTCAGAGCCAAGACCGACAGCATTGACATACTGAAAGACTTTCCTGGCTCCAACAGATTTTATGTCCTCTGGTTATTGCATGTGCCTTTGCAGAATGGAGCTTCTGTGTGTGAATGTGACTTACAACAATAAGATAATAGATAACAATATAATACAAAATGAAATAGAGAACTTTATGTTGTGCATTGAAAGATTATAAGCGTAAGATTCCTCCTCTCGTAAGAGTCCTCTCACTGGCTATTGCATACTTGCTTATTCGCGTGACGCAATCGCAACAATAGAACAGCAGTATGACAGCAGTTTAGGCAGTTGTTCGATAACGTGTTATACATTATGTAAGTATGCAATGTATGCATCACATTATCCGCTGTTGCAGTAATGACCACTTTCGGTGTATGCCATCAAAACGATAAATTGAAAATTAGATGCACAAAAGTGTTGCTCACCTAGTGGACGATTTATGTAAAGAGTAAACACTGTCACAGCTGAGACGAATGCCCATTTGAAGGAATTTCATGTCAATGCCAACATTGTTCTTGGTACCAAATGGTGGATTCATCAATACAGTGTCAAAATATTTTTCCCATCTGGAGGCAAAGAAATAACTTTTAACTCATAGTTGTAAAATAAATATTCTTCAAAAGCTTGGTTAGTATACAAAACATTTGAACTACCCATGATACTTCTAGGCCTGTCGGTAGTTACACGGGAGATTATTATTGCCCTTGTAACTACTAGTCGTTCTGGTAGTTCCACGGGAGATTATTATTGCCTGTTGAACTACTAGTAGTTCTGCTGGTAGTTCCACAGGCAACAAATGATTAAAATTTAACAAGAAACTCAAATTAGAATCAAAAAATTGAAATGCACATTACCTCCAAAGATCAGCATTCAAAAAATCACATTGTACAGCATTAATATTTGTCAGATCCTTTATGTCAACGTTATCTCGAAAGATCTCTAAAGCATCTTCGTCAATGTCTACTGCTGTAACTACACCTGCACCAAGCATTGCTGCGCCAAGTGAAAGCGTGCCTGTACCACAGCCCGCATCCAAAACTAGTCTGTTTTCCAGGGCTTCAAATTGTGTCTATAATAAAGTAAGCACAGAGTACTTTGTTATATAACTTAAATGAAAGTTTTGCTTTATGGCATTAAAGAGGTGAGGAATAAACATCAAAGGTTGTCCTTGCAACAGCGTTGTCATCTTCTAGATAAGTGTACCAACCTAATCACTTTCTACCAGGTGAGATTGTGATCAAATGTAATTATTATCGTCTAATTTGTTTTTAAACAGATATAACCTAAGTCTGTGTAACACAATATAAATACAGCTTACATAAACATGCTGCTTTTTGTGGTATTATTTTAAGACACAAGGTACATAATGAACAATTATTTTGGTACCTGGATTGTATATAGGGCTGCAGCTGCAATATGTGCTGGGGTTTCATATTGTTCAAGTTGTACTTTTGGCTTTGTAAATCCAGTCAAATCCTGGAGGTGACTCTGTAAGATCTTCAGCTTCATCACAGCCCCCATTTCACTTGCTGTCAAACCTTGGAAGGACTGGCAGTATCTGGTTTCCAAATGAGGAGTCTTGGGAGACAAAGTAGCCACAAGATGTGGCGTTAGCGTGTTGTAAAGCAGCTCTGTGACTTGTGTTTACTATATTTGCCTCAGGTAATTGGGGGAAGCCCTGTAACAAAATAATATAAATAAATTCACATATATAATATGTTCCAAAGACACCAAAAAGGATCAAAATAGTGTACAATAGTACTTATTTTAGCCCATGCAATGTCCCACAGCTGGGACTCCTAAGTTGAAGGTAAATATTTATTGTGTGTAAATATTTATTTATAAATACGTAAGTGTAAATATTTAATTAAACTTACAGCAGTTGCAGTAAGAGGTGGAATTGAGCACATGGGCAACTGGCTGACCGGGCTAGGTTGTGTTAAACTGATCGCAGTAGCAGTCAACGGAGGCACCGGCCCTTGCTTCAGTAACATTTGCTTCTTCAACTGGAGTTCCTCCAGAATCTTTCTATTGGTCAGTTCTGTAATAGTCGCACTTGTAAATTTCATGCCCAACTGATGACGTTAAACTATCTTTTCTGGTGAATATCATTTTTAACAACACCAAAGGCAATAGTATTGTTGCAATTTTAACATTCAGTAAACTAACCTCTCTGAGCATTAGGCTGCGGAAACGCCATCTAATATTCTCAAAATCTAATTTAGACTTGATAACAGACATAAAAGGCAATTGAAAAAACTGAATATTAATTAATTGCTACAAAATCTGTAGAATCATAATAAACTCGGCAGCGCAGACGCGCAGCAAAAACATTCATTTATAATTTGCTTTATATAAAACGTATGTGCATGTGCAAAATGTAAATGTTTAATACGGAAGACGGCACTGTTATTTAAAATAAACGTTTAATTTATAAGTTTGCTGATATTTCAGTTATCAATGCCCCGAAAACAAAACCAAAAAATAATATCCCGCAACCTTACAAACGAAAAAAAAGAAACTTGTCTCTTGTCTGCAGTGTTGCCAGACTTTTGCGAAGTTAATTCGCCAAGTTATGTGTGTTAAGTAGCCAATATTCGCCCAAGCTATAAAATCCCTAAAAATCAAGGAAAACAATTCTACAATTCTGCTTGAATCAAATTTGTAATTCCCCAGACATTTTCTTTAGTAGCCTAAAATCGCCTTTTCCTATTTCAAACGTGACCTAAATACCGCCAAGTCGCCGATTACTTTTTTAGTCACAGCGCGACCGCTCGAAGTATCTTAAGCGGCGAAAAATCGCCTAATCTTTGTTTGATTGTCTGCGACTTGACCTGTGTAATAAACGTATATTGCGAAAAAACCGATAAAATGATTGTGGCGCATTTCCTCGAACGACTCTAATTTTTTTCGGCGGGAACCATTAAACTCGAAAGGTACACTTGTGTACTTCTACAAAAAGAAAGATCTAATCTATAATATAATAATTTTAAATTATAATACATTTTGTTGTGTAAATACAGTGTACAAAAAACAACTTCACGTTGGGCTTAATATAATTATATTATAAAAGGTGCTGAAAAAGTTTTTGATTGAAGTATGTATGTACGTATGTACATACTTGCTTTTTGTCAAAAATAACTACGCCACCGCCAACTAGCTAAACGATCGATGGAAAGCAAAGCAACTAATTGATTAGTCTCCACCATCTAACAATGCGCGTAGGGACACGGAAAAAATATCGCTATTTCTTGGTATCGAGCACTTTTTCCTCGATACCGACACTTTTATACTCGATACAAAAATATCGGTATCGAGGGACGAATAAAGTAAGTAAGTTTTTGACAAGTATCGTAATCGTTTCGAATAATTCTTTTTTAGGATACCTCATATCATAACGCAAGCCACACAGCGATTTTTTTTAATGCCATCCTCATCCCAAATTACTTGGCTGCACGGATTTATATATTTCATAAACTGGATCGCGCACTTCGACATACCAATATTACAAATTTATACCTCATTGGGTTATGTTAAGGTTTATTTTAAGTAAAAGTAAAAAACCGAGGCACGTGAGATAGCTCGAAGTAGTGGTCTATCCTTGTCAAACAAGTTGCCACCGCTAAATCAAATCATCTTAGGTTATTAGCTTAAAGGTAATATGCTTTTACTGTACTAACACAAAAAAAATATATCAACAATGTAACCTAATTTGTATTATGAAATAATATTAGTAGTTTTGGTCATCCATAAGCGGCCACATTTTCTAAAGTTAAAAACAATACGGGTGGCTGAAACATGAATAAACACCCTGTTCCTGTTACAAAGAGATGCATTACTACTTTGAAGCCTCTCACTCGGCTCGTTTTATTAACTTAGTGCGCGGTCCAGTTTAATATACAAGTCCGCGCTTGGCTGCGTAATGCAATTACTTGGCTGTATTTGCCTCTTTAAAAGAAGTTTGTCCCTTCTTCAGAACGTTTGTTCTCAAAAGCAGGCAATACTGTATCAAAGACGAGAAACAGACGGTTACCAAATAGACTTTTGTTTTAAGCTGGTTGTACAGCGAAAGAGTGGGAAATTGAAAATTTACGCAACACAATATATGTGAAATGACGATTGATTGATTTTATCAATTTATTGAATTAATCAAATTCTTTTATTATTTGTTTCAATTAAAAATCATAAACAAATAAAAAAGACAGACTTATTAATTCATGTGTTTTATCTGTACTCTGAGTGCGATACTTTTTATCCGGTACTAGTCATGAGTACGGTTTCGATACTTTTGATCCGATGCTGTTCCTAGATGCGCGATTACGAATGATTTCGATATTCGATGCGTTAGTAATCCAAGTAATTACTAATCCTTAGACATGGGGAATAGCGTTACATTTCCATCGCCGTGACTGTCGTTCCGGTTCCAAAAAAAATCACAGTGATAAATCGTCGTGATTTTGTCACGACTGTTACTTCCGTGACCTTGTCACGCCTATAACTTACATTACGATATACGGTTTTAGCCAGCGGCTTCTTTCTAATACTTATAGCCGTTTTTTATACAATGATTTAAGTTTTTACTCCCTTTGTAATAAGTTTCAATTCCATTCAAAAAGTTGATTTTGTATTTAATGTAATTTTGTTTGTTACTTATTTAATGCGAATCTTCGGATTGTTAAAAATAGACATAAAGTGTAATGTAATTATATTTCTAGTAGAATACACAAAGTAGATTATACATAAATATAAAATACCAACTCTTCCTATAATAAAACAAATATACAAAAATATTTTACTTTGTTCGTAAATAGGTTTATAATAACTGCTGCAGATTTTTTTATCCGCCCCTTCTAGTAGTAATAAGCACCTACGACCCTTGTGAGTGAGCAAAGAAAGTCATCCTATTTCATTCCCTCCCATCGCCGAAATGGCTCGATTTGAAGAGAACTACAACGAGTGGCGCGCTCAGCCACCATGGAACGGAGATCGCGCATTGTATCAAATACGTATGTAGTGATGTGAGTGACGGGGATAGCTATTGGAACAGAGGAACACCTATGTGACTCTGGAACGTCGTTCCTTCGGAACGAGTCACGGTGATACTGTTTGACGGCGGATCATCGTGATTTTTTCATCATTTCATCATCATGTCATTTATCACCCACCCCTACTAATCCTGTCATTCGAATAACAAATTAGTAACCTACTAATTTTCGTTTTCGAACGATAATGATCATTTATAAAATCCCGAGATTCCATTGAGAGAAATAATGCTCTATGGAATCATGGATTAATAAAAAGCCTTATCTGACATACGGTAAAGAAACGTGACGAAGGGGATTAGTAATTATTCCACGCGAGTTGAATAATTCTTGGATTCGACTTAAGCGAATCATTTGCCCATTCGAATGATTTAAGTAACTCAAATTACAAAACAATAAGTTTTGTAATCTGAGATTAGTAACATTCAAAGTTGCGCATCGCTAATCAGCAGCCTATTGTAATACAGCTTGGTGCGGTCATGGGCCTCCCCTAATGTGCGTCATACAAATTTCATACTGGCCATAGCTAATGTAAGATTTCTCAGTAATGTAGTATATGGGGTTGTCTAAGTTGGAATAACAATGAGAGTAAATAAAATACAAAATTATACAAAAGCATTTATTTTTAAAACAATGTAGGTAATAATAATATACTTCTTCATTCTTGGCAAAACAGTCTCACATAAGCAAGTCAACATTTGGCCTCTCTTAAGAATAAATCATAGATTAACATGCGCTGCCGTAATTCACAAAAACAGAATATCAGATAAATAAAAATATAAAAAAGGACAATTTTAAAATTAACTCATATGCCTAATTGCAGTTAGCATTGCATCTTGGTTGAGCAATATCTTAGTTTAATTTGTTTAACGTAAAATTATTCTAAATAAAAAGGGAACATTAACATTACTAGAATTGACTCACAATATCAGCGTTATATAAAAAAATCTACTGTATCTAATATAATAGTTCTTCACAGACGCAGACATTACAGTCCACAATGGGTTTGTGGCTTACTTCTGATAAAATTTGAGAATAAATGCACAACAAAAATAGAATTTCAGTTGCCTATGTCTTTTATGTTTACAAAAATATTTATAACAATTTAGAAATAATTAGTAACAGATTTTCCTATAAACAATTTGGAATAATATTGCACAAGCTCAAAGCTAAATAATTATTACGTGCTTTCGTGTATAAATATTAAAAATATTATAACAAACCAATACGATAATCATGCGCTAGGTTTTATGACTCGTTATAAAAATATTGACACTTTCATAAGTTCGATAGACCAGTAATTGAAGATAATACTCTCGAGTTGCGTAAGAGGATTATGTAGTAAATTAAATACTTTATGACAATAATATTTGAAAAACATTGATATGTACCAAAGAGATATGTTTCAATTTGGATATTACTACATAGAGCAATAGGTCAAAAACGCATGACAGGTTTGATAGCTACATGCCACGAAGTATTACTACTCTCAACTTGCATTAAAGTTATTATGACTGGTCCATAACTTGGATAGGAACCTGATGTGTTCGCTTTAGTTTAGACAATATTACGTAGACGTTAAATTTAATTGTAACAACAACTAGTGATAACAATGTCTATCAAAATGATATACAAACTTACATTAGGTAAGTGCGTGAATGTTGTAGGGAACATACCGAGAGCCTTCAGCTGTAATCGCATGCATTGGTTTGTTAAATTTTTACTTTCACAGCACAGAAACAAACACATTCTGGACTAAATAAAATCTGAAAAATGATAACAACATTTCTTTTTTAAAGACTAGTACAAATTTTGGCACAACGCTGCACCTATTAGGAGCAGTGGCATTGATGTTGTTCTTTACTCATTTCCTAGATTTATCGATAAATGTTGGATACATAAATCTTGATACTTAACAATTTGGATTTCAACCAATGATCCAACAGACACTAGCTGTCAGGAACGATGATTTTATTAACATACAGCAAGCAGCAACTAAGCATTTCTATTAATATTTGTGCCCAATGTGTCATGTTCGATGTATCGTTTTACAATTAATTTATGAAAGCCCAAACGAACCAGTGACTGATTTTATCCATCACCATTTATGGACAGCTGCCAATATAAGTAATCATAAAAATGCAAAATCATCATTGTATAATTAATTTTAGTAAAAAAAATATCATAAATAAAAAAACTTACTTGATAAATAAATTCTCTTGTTCCATTGCTCAATCAATGTTATGAAAACAGAGTGTAAAAATAATATTTATGTCCTAATTCGTTTAATGCAGATTGTAAGATTTTCTGAAATGTTCATTTACCCTGTTGAAGGAAAAAGGAGTTTGGCAATTTTTGGCATTTTGGAATTGTGGTTAACTTTGATAAAACTTTTTTAAACTACGAATACACATCTAAACTAGACTAGGGTAAACTTAGACGCCTGTAGGTCTTCGTGCTACCAACAGCTAGCGAGGAATACCGGTAGTCGGCTGGTTTATTTTTACACCCTGCCTCAATGAGTATTTTACCTCAACAACACTCTTAAATCCGATCAACAATACATACCTAACACTTCCCTGTATAAATATATTATAGTCTTGTAAAAGAAACCTTTGAAACCTCATAGGTCATTAACACTACGTGAGAAATTACAAGAGCATTAGGATACAATATATTGCTACGAGTTAACTTATCATTTGGCACTAAATTAACATATTGTATCTCGAGTATTCTCACAAAGTATTTATTTATACTCGCGAATTCATTAATTCTTAATTTCTTTTTTACCATTAAATTTTGTTCAATTAATCTTACTAATGATATAAACTTTCATTGGGCGAAAAAGTTTTAACTTTTACAATGAATGTGTGTGAACTGACTATGAAAGGAATATTCTCCATTTGTTGAGCAAACGTGACTCACCATCCCGATTTCCGACGACGTTCTTGTTACTTTCAGATACGTCGAATCGGAATGGCCGCGATACCGACTTAGAATCATTCACGAAATTAATGGACAAGACCATTTCGGCAAGTAAAATTTGGCAAATTTGAGCATTAACACTTTCGATTGGCATCACAATCATTATGATTTGTTAGTATGTTTACTAGGTAGCATTGCGTGACTACGATATTCTACTCTGGTAACTGTTACTTATAGGTACACAAATATCTTGTGGATCATTTCTAAAACAGTATACTGTGTACTACTCGCGTCGTAGGGAGGAGATGTGTATGCTGGACATCCTTTTGGGATGCGCTCCTCATTGGCACTATAACATAAGCTACCCTCACTCAAACCTACATACGAGGTACATCAGTCTTCTGCCGATTCGTGACGTGACAGTCCTGGTTTATAACAGTTTCCTTTATATCACGACACATCTCGTTTCTAGCACTGAGTTACATACACTATACCTTACTTGCTTACGTAATGTACAAAATACAGAACGTGAAACTATATTTTAAATTGATATGACTTTAAAACGTGAGACAGTACATAATTATTATGAGGGTTACATCAAACGTTCAAAAGAACTATATAAACGTGGACTTTTCAAGAGACTTCCGTTATATACTAGCTACATTTATAACAACTTGGTTAAAATAGTATTTAAAAATTAAAAATCTTTTATTTATCAAATAATAGTAGTTATTGCTTTTTTTTGATATGATTAATGCATCTGTGTGCAGTTGAGGTGTCAGGACCGCTAGTCGTTCGCAGGAGCCGCCGCCGGACTTCGGCCGCGGCCTCGCCGCGCCGCTCTCCGGTGAGCGGTGAAAGCAAACAGACGACTGTCACTTATACCACTTACGATGGCGTACAGATAATCTGTACAATTGGTATTAATTACGTAATAACTCTTAATCGTAATTATTTTAAAAATATGACTGCTTTATTTAAATCCATCATGATCACAGCTCTCCAAAGACTTTACGACATCCAACCAGACACGCCAAAATAAATTCTTTATCATTTACACCTATAAAACAAAATGACTATTATAGCTCTATATTAGTCCTAAAAATTATGCCATTTTGATATATTTACTTTGCAATTGCAACGGTCCCTCGTACAGCACTTAAATGCTTCATATACAAATTTTTAAAGTAACCACGAAATGACTTTTCTTATTAAAAGTAAAGGAAGCGATCGAACGACTAATATCGACAAAATAAAATTTTAAAATCAAGCGGCAGTGTTCGCGAAAAATTCGTGCATATAGAACCTATCTACGAAACATGTCTTAGGAACCTGATAAATTATTGCTAGAGCTTCGGGCACCACTCCCCTTACGAACGACAATGCGCCGGCACGGCCGGTCGCATAACGAGATAAATTCTTATCAGTAGCCAATAGAAAAATATCACCTAAATAAATATGAATATTTGACAGGATTAACGCACCGCCACGCAATGATGGCACGCTGTGCCACCGAACTGATATCGCCGCCCGGACCTCATCGCACCACCTCCCTGTTATTAACAGCAGGGTCGGTGGCACCACGCGACGCCAAGTAGCGACGATTACAATTTCTCTTTTTGGTAAAAAATAACAAGATTATGAAAGTGATATGCAATACGGGCGTGTGCACAGAGCTGCACCACTACGGGTCGGCGACGTCGTCGGCGCGCGGGTAGTCGCAGCCTCCGGGCTTGCTTTCGGCGCTTGCACCGCTGGCCGCGCTAGCTGTGCTGCCTGCGCCACTGCCGCCTGCCGAACCTGGCCCCGGCGGCGCCTCACTGTTCACAAAAAACCTAGTCACAAATCGCGTAATAATAAAGCAGTGATATGGATAAACACATGAGTAGTTTTCATTAAATTGTCACGGCATACAGGAAGCAAAAAGCAGTGATGCCCTAATGGTTTGACCTACTGCCTCTCAAGCAGAGGGGTCGTGGTTTCGAACCCAGACTTGCACCTCTAAGTTTCTCGGAATTTATGTGCGAAATTTAATTTGCAATTTATCATGAGCTATTCGGTGAAGGAAAACATCGTGATGAAACCTGCACGTTGAAGGTTGACAACCTTCGGAAAACGTGTGAAGTCCCCAAACCGCATTGGGCCAGATTGGCGGACTATGGTCTAAACTCTCGTCTGAAACTCCTTTCAGTGGGTCTCCACCCATGGCCAGCAGAGGAACGTATAAATGGGTTGATGACGAAAGGCAGAAAAAAGCTTACAATGTGGGATAAGAAGAGCGCGCACTCGGTGCGGGCACGTCGTCGCAGGGTGGCGGGCGCGCGGCTGCGCTCAATAGGTAGTTGGTAGACTCGCTGAAACAGTTAGACAACCTACTTCAAATTGTATTACTGTCTCGAGTCTCGCGATTCTCAAACAATGTACCTATAGGTTTTAGAACTTCTGTAATCCAACTAAATATTTCAATCCGATTGTCATTTATCAAACATTATTATTGCTATCGTATTAGCAGTGTCACAGTTTTATTCAATTGTTGAATATATTCATGTAAATATGACTTGAGTAGTCATTGAGGCTAACATACTCATGGCGATAAGCATGGCAGACATGGTGCATAGATAACGTGTGTTTACTAAGATAAAGACAAGACAATGCGAGGCAATATACTAAGGTCAAAGTCGGTTTATACGTAAATTTGATAATAATACCGTGTATAAATGCTACATTAACTAATCAATGAGCTGTTTAAATCAGACTTTTTTGTCTAAAGGTGATATGATTTTACAAAAGATGTACGAAAGTTAGTAAAATTAGGCGACATGCAATAGGCTATTCAAATGATATGATAATAGAAGTTTATTACAGAGATTTGTAGCCATGAGAATCTTACAAATAATATTTGATGCAAGGTATTTTTGCGCGTGCTTTGGTGTATTGTTTTGGTATCTTATTATCATATTGTATGCAACCCACGTAAGTTGTTTATATTTTGGAAATGATTATGTCAATAATCGAGGCGGTCTTTGTTGGCAGCATTGTAATATTACCTAATACATCCATCGTCATCTGTTGCGTGCTAATTACACCATTACGAAGTACTCTAATCGCACCATTGAATAAACAAATATAATATGATCTAATTACAATTAAGCAACGTACGTAGACGTACTTAGTTTTGCATTGTTGATAGGGTTTATAATTTTGTAATAAACTAACACCCTACGTTATGAATGATGAATATACAGTGTGTTTTTTAAGTGGGACAGTATGGGGAAATCGGAAACTATAGAAGATACAGGGAAACTGTCTTAGGAACCATTAAGTCTTATTTTGTGAAAAAAATTTTGGCACAGTAAATTTTTTTCGTTTGCGGATCTGACATAAAAATGAATTTTGTTTTTATTTTTTTAGTGCTGATAGTATTAGTTTCATGTAAGGATTATTTTTGGAGAAAAAAATCGGGACTACAAGAAGCTGGTAAAATTTCATGAAATGTTTTTTTTACTCCTGCACTTTAATTTGTTTATTATAATCTCATAAACCATATCAAGCGCTCTTTTTAGTTCTGAATCAAAATTCTATTTTCTATTGTACTCGCCACTGAGCAGATAAATTTAATTTCTGTACAACTATAATGAGTTTCAAAAAAAGAACGTCGTATTTTTGATAATTAAAAAAAATCAATTAGGACTCTACACAAACGCTATACTGCTTCCTGATTGGTTACATTGGCATAAAAGTCGTGCAACCGGGCTATACATATATATATATATATATATATTATATATATATATATATTTGTTTAAAAAAATAAATGGTTGAAATATATGCGGCACTCGGTTCCAGTTCTATTCTATCTGTTTGGTTTTTTCTTTTGTAGCCGTTGTTTGGCTTTCATACAGAGTATGAAGAGGCTGTATGGTGGAACTACCTGCCTAGCCTAATAAATGGGTAAAAATTTATTTAAAAAAAAATGCCTTTGTTGCGATGGATTGTTAACAAAATATACATTAATTATTGGTTCTGTTTCATTATTTTATTTACTTGTAGAAAAAGTATTGTATGCAATCATTACATTATTAGGTCTTAAAATCTCGTACCTTAAAAGGTAAGTAAACTTAGCCCACGAGTTTTGGTACTCGACTTTAAGAAGTCTCGTTATGCAACGATTGCATAAAATACTATTTCATACAAAATTCATAAAACTTACTAATTTTTTTTACGACGTTCATTTTTTGAAACTCATTATAATTGTAGAGAAATTAAATTTATCAGTTCAGTGGTGAGTACAATAGAAAATAGAATTTTGATTTACTAATTTTTGTTATAAATGCTGATAGACTTACTTCCATGCAAGGATCATTTTATGTATTGCAAAAAAAAATCGGGACAACAGAAGTTGGTGAAAGTTAATAAAAAGATTTTTTCATAGGTCGTGGGCTCACCTTGCAGTTCGCATCCGGAGCGCTGCACAGTTCTCCTTGCATTTGTAAGCGAGCACCTGTTTAATGCGTGACACCTCAACGTCAGGAAAGTGGCGGCTGACGTAGGAGATCAGCGCGTGTACGCGGCGTCGGTCGAGTGGCGGCTTGGTGGGGCGCGATTCTTGCCCTGCACGAGACCAGCGCTGCCCTGTCACCGAGCAGGTGGCCAGCTCGATGGGCGAGAACAGCGCCGCTGCCAGCCCGCGCGTCACTTTACGATAATCCCCCCATTTCACCCCTCTCAATAACTCTTCACGAATCTCCACACCTTCGCCCAGTTTTATCTGTATCGATTTAAAGTGCATTAAAAAATGAAACATATACCTCCTCACATCGATCGTAAATTTATATTCTCACAGTGGTTAAAAAAAGTATAAATAAATTAGAACAGAATGGCAACATTATTTTCTTCAATGTCCGGTTTATCATCTGCATGGTAGTGACCCCTGAGCTCTCTTGAGTCATGCCATGTGTTATCGTAACTCCTCAAGATGTGGTTGTGACGTTTATCGCAGGAACGCCCCATGAGATAGGGCCTCCCACTGGACTCGGGCCGGTGATAACCCATGATAAAGTTCGTTCGCGAAGATAAGCCAATATATTTAGGCCAATAAGTGTACAGTTACGCAATTGAAGAATATGCATGCAAAATTATAGTGGTCGTGTGACGCAACGATAATTTTATAATATAAACTATTCTAACACTCGTCAATGGAAACGGAAAATCACTAACAATCAATACACAGAAATATATTCGGGTCTCACCTCGATCAGTCAGCAGCAAAAAACATGACTCCAAACTCATTCAATCCCTTTACACAGGAGGATCACGTTTCTTTGCTGCTTATGGTATAATACAATATTAAGTAAGTTATCGGAAACACGAATTTCTTTTTTCGAATTTCATTATTCCAAACACGGTTCGACTTTTTTTTTATTAGTGCCATGACCGTTTTCATATCAATTTGTAACACAGAAATATCTTTTACAGAAGAAGATGTATTGTTTGTCCGATAAAAACTCTTATTACAAAAACCATTATTACGTGTATGTGTAATAATGGTTTTTTCTAATTTTGGCAGAATTTTGTTTGTCAATTCATGTTTACCCTTCTCTCTGTTTTCCATATCGCACACGACAACTAACATAGTGTTATCTCATAATGTTTTAAGTTATATTAATATTACCCATTTAGTGTAAAAGCGACAGTGTTGTCCTGTACTTTGAAATTAAATCGTATATGTCGAATGTCATGACACATCAATATAGCGAAATTTTGGAGATAAATTATCAATATAAAGCAATTTTGAGATAAAATATAATATAACGCAATTTTTGAGATAAAACTACGTTAGTTGCTGAGTGTGATATAGTTTAGATCGCTGAATATTCGTTTCGACAAAATTATATTCTTACTTATCATCCAAAAGTACAAGTACGAAACAACATCTATTCAATAAAAGCAGAAAGCTTTTCGGAGAAACAAAATTCTGTAAATTATGTTTCTATCTTGTGATAAGTAACCATAATATTAATATTAAATATTATAACTTACGAGTCTAGGCGCAGGCGCCCCTGTACGCTCGTTCTCCCGCTTCAGCACAAAGGGTAGCGCGCGTCGGTGCTGTTCCAGCCATACGGCGTCCGGCACCGGCCGGTTGCGGCGCCCGTCCCAACGTCCTGCGACTAAATAATATTTGCACGTTGTTATGGAATTCTACTATTTTTTTTGGAGTCTTTTCTTCAAACGAACTTCACTCACCAAAATGCTTTTAGCACTGTAAAAGAATAATTTAAAAGTAGCATTCGTGGCACGGTTATAATTATAAATAGTAATTATCTAATAGACTGTTTACACAAAATATTAATGTTAAGTTTTTGTAACAAGTTTTTAACTTTCTATGTAATGCACACGAAACTGAGGCTACTGTGAATATACAGGGTGTCCGGTAAAGAATGGATAAGCCTGAAATGCCTTATAAAAGAGCTTATGAACGTTCAAAAAAAATATAAAGAAAAATATATCCCATGTAGTACCTAAGATATATTTTTTTTTAATTTAATTATTTTCACCTTATTTTACGTTTTTGTACACCACGATTACAAGTTAATCAATTCAGTTCAGTTTTTTGGTGTCATAATATTCATTAACTGTGCTAATAGATAGGCAGTAAATAGTATGACTAAGTATGGCACTTAAATTTAAAAAGTTTTATTTTATTTTTCAGTGCAAATTTTTTTTTCACAAAGTTTAAGCATCTTTGATATAAAAAAAAAATTATGATAACCTGAGTGGCCAACTATTCTAAAATAATGTGTGTTTAAAGTAGATTTCGTAGATTATAAATAGAAAATTATTGCTATTAATGTGCAAAAGGAGTAAATTTGACTAAAAACTAAGTTTTCAAAATTGGACCATTTTTTGTCCTCAATTAAGCTTCACCATTGAGTTTTAATAAAAAAAACAATATTAGAAATAAATACAACTTTATTTACAATTTGTTTACAGCAAATGTTCAAACTGTTTGCCGCCGACTCAGATGCAGGCTCTACATCTTCGAATAAAAGCCCTTTTGAGTAGCCGCGAATATCGTCGTTCACTTATTGTTGCAGCGGTTACACTGGCACGGCTATGTAAGTCTTCCAAGGACCTGATCGGCTTACTATACACAATTTCCTTAAGGCAGCCCCAATAAAAAAGATACAGTGGATTTAGGTGAATACTGGTGGAGGCTTTAAAATTTGCCCCAGATGGCCGATCCATCTGTCTGGGTATGTTCTATTCTAAAATATACTCGACACACAGGGACCAGGGAACAGGGACCGCATAGTACGCAGGACAGCCGTCATTTTGTAACCAATGGGATTCCCTCAGCTCCTCGGACACGTCTTCACTAAATTAGGCAGGTCATTCTGGAGGAACTCCAAATAACTTTCACCAGTTAGGTTCCCCGGTAGTTCAAATGGCCCTATTACTTTTCCATTTAATATTCCCGTCCAATAATTTATTTTAAACTGGTACTGTGATCGGTCTTCCCGCATAAGATGGGGGTTTTGAAGTTATGCTGCCTAGCTATGGAGATTATTATGTAGATTTAAATAACCATTTCTTTTAAGGGTTGATTCATCGCTCCATAGAATTTTGTTAAACAATTGCGGTTCTTCCTCATCTTACCTAGCATTTGTCGGCAAAAACTTAATCTTGAAGCGTAATCTCTCGGTTGGAGAGTTTGCACTCGTGTAACGTGGTAGGTATTGAATTTATTTTTCTTTAAAATATCATGCACAGTCGATTTTTCTATTCCCGTGAGTCGTGCTACTCTCGTCGAGGTAGAACGATCTTGCTCAATTTCGTCAAGCACTATCTCTTCGTTGTCACCACGAGGTATTCTTCCAGTGCTAGTACCACCAACACCACTACCAGGCATTCTTCCTTCTGAGCAACCTGCATGGACAGATGGATGGATCGCCCATCTGGGGCCAATTTTATGGCCTCCGCGTTCACCGGACCCTAATCCACGGGATTTTTTTTATTGGAGCTGCCTTAAGGAAATTGTGTATAGTAAGCCGATCAGGTCCTCGGAAGACTTACGTAGCCGTGCCAGTGCAGCCGCTGCAACAATGTGAACGACGATATACACGGCTACTCAAACGGGCTTTTATTCAAAGTTGTAGAGCCTGAATTAGAGTCGGTGGCAAACAGTTTGAACATTTGCTGTAAACAAATTGTAAATAAAGTTGTATTTATTTCTAATATTGTTTTTTTTATTAAAACTCAATGGTGAAGCTTAATTGAGGACAAAAAATGGTCCAATTTTGAATACTTAGTTTTTAGTCAAATTTGCTCCTTTTGCACATTAATAGCAATAATTTTCTATTTATATTAGATACAATAATGAATTATATCATTTTTAAATCTACTTTAAACACACATTATTTTAGAATAGTTGCCCACTCAGGTTATCATAATTTTTTTTATCAAAGATACTTAAACTTTGTGAAAAAAAAAATTTTGCACTGAAAAATAAAATTAAACTTTTTTTAAATTTAAGTGCCATACTTAGTCATACTATTTACTGCCTATCTATTAGCACAGTAGTACATGTAGACTATTATGACACCAAAAAACCGAAGGAATTGATTAACTTGTAGTCGTGGTGTACAAAAACGTAAAATAAGGTGAAAATAATTAAATTTACAGAAAAAAAATCTTAGGAACTACATGGGATATATTTTTCTTTATATATTTTTTTTATGAACGTTCATAAGCTCTACTATAAGGCATTTCAGGCTTATCCATTCTTTACCAGACACCCTGTATAAACTTGTATACAAAAAAGTAGCGATATCCACCAATATAATATTATACCTTAACCAGCGAGCAAACTCATCATGCAAGTTATTAACTAAAACTATTGTTTTTGGAATACCACTTTATTTTTGATATTTAGTAAAAAAATTACATGATTTATGTACATACATTAAGGATCTAATATTCTGGGCAAAACAATACAATTTAAAGAATCTAAACTCGAATGTTAACTTTAAAAGCCACGTGAATTTAGGAGCCTAAAAATTTTAATTTGCCTCTAAATGTACGATTGTAAAAATATTTTATTTATAAATTATTTTATATTAATACAAATATTTACTTTTTACTGTATGTTTCAATAAAATGAACTTTAATCGCAGATAAACTTCAACAGTACTTACTATGTATAACCATTAATTATTGCTGTGTGAAACTAAGTACTCGAGAATGGTATAGCTCATAAGTTCCCAAACTTTTTGCCTGACCACAATAAATAATTCAAGGCGCGTATTTTTTATATTAAATTAACACAAAAAATTCGATGGAAAAAAATATGTAGTGTAGTTTATATAGACAATTCAGTTTTTTTTAAAACGCGGTAGCACCCCCTGGACAGCATCAACGCCCCTCAATTGCTCCCGAGGCCCCTACCACCCTTCTAGGACTAAAAAAAAGGCGGTAGGCACCACCCACTACCAAATTTATTATGTCGGTAATCATCATTGGTATTATTTGTCACGTAAACGGATTTGCAAACAATACCAAATATGAGACACAATGTTTAATATACTTTGAGATATTTTCACATAATTACGCGTTAATATTTGGTTCAGAATTAATACATAATGAAGTACCTGGAAGTGTTCATATAAAATGTGCATCACGCTAAAAGAAAAAAAAACAAACGTACGTAGATTCATCAGCTATGATCTTACTGAGTGTGCTTCAATATTTTTCGTCGTCATGAACTTTTCTAAATAACTATCGCCGTAATTTGGGAAGCCCGCCAATTTAATAATATACCTTGCTGTCACGATGTTGTTAGTTAAACCATGCTCGAGTATTTATTAGAAGTATTGTTTGTGTAGAGAAATTAAGGCATATCGTAACGATCACTATTACAACAGTATTAGTTCCATCTCAGACTAATAATTATAATAATTAATAACTAATGATATAAACTTCGGTACGGTGACGTAAAAAAATCTTGAAAATAATTTCCGTTATAATATTTTTGTTTTAATTTTGACCATTAACATTATTATCATACTGATAACGTTTCTAAGATTATAAATTCAGCAAGTGTGAAGATATTAAATTTTTTTCTTATACATTTACAATTTTGATTTAAATATTTATGAATTCAAGAAAGCTGCGCGTTAGCTCGCAAGGGACATTAACTTTTTTTAAATCCAATGTGCTTTCAAATTACTTTAAGAACTAGTGGGTTACATTTAGCTATTATTAAGTTATAGGGGTAATTTTTATTGCAATTTCCAAACCATCTCTCCGATACTTTTGGGAATTTTAAAACAATGATTATAATAATTATTATAAATGCAAAATTAAAATTTAGAGATCATTAAAGTGTAAACTTGAGATCAAGTTGTTCCGATAATTTTAAAATTTTAAACAATAAAACTAATATTGTGAATCACAACCCTAATCATACCATTGTCTAGTAGGTAAACTCTCCTAAATGCTTTCCCTGAAAATGACTAGAAGCGCTTTTTCATGGCAACCGTTCAATAAACCTACGTAAAGAAATTATTATTGTAGAATTAATTGATCAAAAGTTAAAATATAAAAAACAGCAGAAAGAAACTTAATACAAATAAATGACGCTTAGTCTACTCTGTAAACGACTAATCAGTGCCGAAACACTGGGCTCGTGGAGCTATGGCAAATAAACTGATTGATAGTAACATAACTAATATTCAATAACTAATATTATGTATAATTATTAGAAACTTGGAGACATTTTAATATTCATTATTACATCTGAGATTTTTTACAAACTATAACCGGGAGCCGTCCTATCACTCAACAATACAACACTGTAAAGATAATACTATATTGTATAAAAATACCACTATTGTTGTTAACACATAAAATCGTGTATTTGACAAAACAAAACTGGCGCGTGGCGCTCTTCGCCGTGTCGATGTATTAAATAATATACTCTATTATGAAAATACACTTATTTGCATCTATGAATGCGGTTTCGAGCGCCGCTGACTGTGGATAACGTGTATAATGTATGCATGTATAATATGTAACCTGTAAATAACCTATGTATGTAAAATCAGCACCGGTTGCAACAAATGCTTCAACAACGATCAGTCTATTGTCAGAAAGGAAGGTACTTGTGTGGGTTTTCCTCGACCATGCCCTCGTTAGTCATTATATGGCAAATATGAACCAATAAAAGTGATTCATCTCATCACCCTAATGGGTTTTCTAATGACAACGCACTTAAATATAGTAAGTTTCTTTTAAGTGTGACCTATGACAGCATGGTCAAAGAAAATCAGGAGTTCAGTATATTCATCAAAAGGCACGCAACAAACGGAGAGGTGTGACGGCAAATAGGCCCCCGGCGACACTCCGATCACAGACTAGATACATCTATACAGTCTTCTTTACGACTTCATTATAAGCCACTTCGTCAATATGTATTCGAGCGACAAGGTGCAATATTTTAATGTCAATGAAACCCCTCATGAAAGCAATGAACTTTGTTCATAATCCGCCGCGAAGACAGGTACAGACTAGACCAGCCGACTATCAAAGAAATACTGCATCTGGGCACACGATATCAATCCTCGTAAGTAGGAGAGAGCGCGTGGGTCGGCGGTCGCCGGTAGACGGCTACTGTTGGAACTGCTGCGCGGGCCGCAGCGCGGGGAGCGGTGGCGGCGGCTTGCGGACGCGCACCGGGTGCTGCGCCAGCGTGTGGCGGCGCAGATACAGCGGCGTCTTGAAGCTGCGGCCACACGTGCTGCACACCACGGGCTGCGCTTCGTGAATTAACCGCACGTGCTGGCGTAGGTTGGACGCGTTGCTGTACCGGCGCCCGCATTGCGCGCAGCGGATGCCGCCGGCTCCCGCCGCAACCACGCCCCCAGCCCCGCCGGCCACGCCCAGCCCGCCCGCTGCCAACAACACCAGGTTCGCACTGCGCCACTCCGCCCACTCCGCCTCGCGACTGCCCGCCGCGGCTGATCCTCGCCCGTGCCTCGTCCACCGTACGCTACGTAACTACCCGCACGGAGTTCCTCGTCGTCAAGTCACTCAAAAAGTCGGCGGTGCAAGTTACGTAGAGACTTAGATCGCTGTCAGGGGTCAGTTATGTCAATCAGATTAGGCGCGGCTACCGGGTCAAATCGCGGGCGCAAATCGCAAGAGGTGCAGTATACCTGCGGTGGATGGTAACGCGCCCGGATCGGATCGGTAACGTGCCCTCGAAGGGATTGCAACATAAAGACGCCAGCAACGGCGCGAGGCGGGACGGGCGAAAAGCTGGGGCGGCGCGGGTCGCGCGTCGCCTGACACCCGCGCTCCTAGCCACAGCTCGCGATGAGACCGCGCGCTCTCTACTACGCCGTTTGGTATTGCAAATGTAATAAAATCTGGTTCGCCGGGGGCGCGGCTGTCCGAGTCGACGTGTGCGTGTGGTAATGAAGTGACAGTGAAAGGTGGAAAAGTGGTGGTATATATACCTTCCGTGTTCTCGTCTCGTAGCTCGGTACTAATCCCGCCCATGAGATCCATATTACCTGATCGGAAAAACACGATTTAAAAAACATTTTATGACTACAATGTAACAATAAAGGAAATTACATACCTTGTAGGGTCGCAAAGGGGTTAGCTAGTGTATTGTTCTCGTTGTAGTAGACCGGAGGAAAACTAGACCGTTCTTCGTCACTAGCTTCTTGTTCCATTACTTCCATTTTAGGTTCGAGAAGATCTGATGCGTTAAAGTCTTGACATTTGTCCGTCCTGTCCGGGTCTCCAGGGTCCATAAGAATGTCATTTTCTTCATTCTTCACATCGGGCGGCGTTTCGAGATCAGTTTTCACCCTCAACGAGGGATAGTTGCACGATTCGCTATAGTCATCATAATTAGGCCTCGTTTGACTAGAAGTTTGAAAGGGAGCTTCTTCGTTGATATTATTTCTGGCAACGTCGGGAGAATTTCTGTTAGATCGGCGACTATTTTTGTCTGGTTCGTCAATGGAGGTCGACTCAACATTTTGGCTTGCGGCTTTGGAGGAAGAGGTAGAATGTGACGGTTTGGCGCTGAGCAAATTACGTAGTTGAGAAGGAGGGGACTTTCTATTCACTTTCTGTAAAGATTGAAGAATATTAGTGAGGGCATTAGCTTTATCAGAGGGCATTTTGAATAGAAATTTAAGTTACTTTGTCATTGTGCTGGGAGCAGTCAGTGAGGCCGCGGATCTGAAGCGCATCCGCGGTGCGCAGGAATGCCGAAAGCTGTGCCTGGGCGATGTTCACCTGCCCCACGTACATGAACTGTAGCAACGCGCGCACGTGCGACACCTCGCAGTCGCGCATGAATATTATCGGGTGAGGACATGGGTTGTTCTGTAACAACCAAACCCTTAATAATAAAAATATTCTAATATGACATTTTTTGTAACATAGGTCATTTTTTTTTACAAGGCTATTTGATGGTAATAACACCTACTTCAAACAGATAAAAAACATTATTTGAAAATGAAACTTTCCATTGATACACAGTTTTTTTCTATTCCAAACGAAGATAGATTAACATTCAAGACTTATATGGTATTGACCCAACACATATTCGAGGTCATGGACTTAAGTAAATGTGTTTTGAATTCCTTTGTGGAAAATTATTCCTGTCAAACAAAAAATTTACTAGTCCATGTTAACAGCAACAATAAGTGGAAGTCTCTATTTGTCTGCATAGTCAACAAGTAACAAATGTAAAACATTTATTTATTTATTTTAAATCAGTTGACAATTTATTATTAGATGGATAAATGTATTGAAACAAAATATACAATTCTTCGACATGGAGTTTATGTTAAAATATAAAAATTCAGTGTTTATATTATTTGATACAGCTTCTTGAATCCCATAAATTAATTTGCTGTAAAAATGTATTCATTCACATTTCGAATAAATTAATAAATAAAATAACTTTCACTTGTCAGGCACAAAGAAAGTGACCATAAGCTGTGTTTCGTTGTACGATATTAGATAGATACTTATGTTAGCCATTGAAGATTTTATTCTATGTATAGTGGGTGAAACAATATTTTGAAATAAAACTTTACATCTAGAACATAAAACACTCATTTAAAGTTGATATTTTTAAAATGTTAAAATGAGTCTGAATAGCTTATGTGTCCTCCTCTTTAATTGTGGTCAAAGTATCAGACAACAATAGATATTTACAAATCAATGGGAACTTGTTCATTAATGTGGCAATTAGGCTAATTACCCACCAACTAATAAAAGGGACTATCATTTTCAAAGTGTTTTATTTTTATCAACAACTTTGATAATGTTTAATGGTGATTATCAATTCACAAGATAAAAAGACATAGGTGTAATGAAAAAGATATATTTCCAATATTAGTACTAACTCATGTTTACGTTGACTTTACTGTTCAGATAAAAATACCATAACAATATCTTTGTCAATGATGCAAAAAGCATCATTATTATTTTATAGTTACTTATAAAAAATACTTATTTTGTTTACATACATGAATGTAGTACAAACATTTTATTTAGTCAATAAATGTACATACACAAGAATTTGTTATTCAAAATATTTCAGTTTGAAAAATGTTTAGGTAATGTAATATAATCACAATTACAATAAGTGCATGCATAAAAGGTCATTGACTTGCAACAAATTTATGTATAGATAATAAGTAGTTCTGCATGCAGGCAAAGAATATACAAAAGATACAATAGGCATTTTCAAATATACTTCCTATCTATCCGTTATACCACAATTTTAAATGAGGCAAAATGAAATAGAAAACAAAATGTTATTTTCACATGGTTTTCTTTTTGAGGCTATGAAGCAACTTGCTCAATCTAAAACACTCTAAACTGAAAATAACAGATACAATGCAATGTCATGAAAGCGGGGACTTTGAAATTGGTTGTTTGAATTACAAATGAGGATTTCCATAGCTTTCATTCGTCACATAATACCTACCGCTCATTACACTGCATTCCATGCAATTATCTACAAAAATGTAGCCAAACACATAAAGCATCTAATGTGAAAACTCATGTCAATTAACTCTATGGAATGTGCAGCCACCACTACAATATAACCTAGTAGAAGTAGCAATAGTTAATTAATCTCTACCAGTATAATACTAAAAAAGGAAACTACAGCTCTCATAAATGATTTAGACATAGAGAAAGGAATACCCACACCATCCCCTAGAATCCATATATGTTATACATATCAATGGTAATGAGTTAATTAGAAATTGTGAAACAGAATTTTTAAGTAGGTACAAATAAATGAAATCACGAGTACTTAACCGGAACGCGAGACATGGCATTTGTAAGTAGATCAAGTGTTTTATACATAACAACTTTCACTAGAGTCATTGTAATGGTGACACATCAAAGTGTGGGGAGTGAAAGATGGACTTACTTTGAACAATTCCTTGAAGTAGGGACTACATGCGGACAGAACCACCTTATGGGCCTCCAGCCTGTGCCCTTCGCACGCCAGGGTCACGTCCACGAAGTCCTCATCATCGCGCAGCGCCTCGAATTGAGAAGTTATATTTGCTTGAAAATTGTTCCATCTCAAACAGAATTGCTGGTCGCCACCCAGTTCTGTTCCTTCCATTACTTATAGACATAACTCGATATCCCTGCTCATTTAATTGCTTGATAAGAATAGTAAAATATTGAAAATAAATATATCACAGTAACTTGCAATTTCAGTCGCCGTCTGGCCGAAAATCTTATGAAAGAAAACAATCAATAAAATCTCGTACCAATATGAGAAAAATAAAACTTTTTAATTTGTCATTTGTTGATGAGTACATTCACTTCAACGTTCCGTTTCACATTGTGGTTTACGGTTTTTGTGAATGACTAATTGTCTATGGTCTATACTTACTTAGTATTGAAGTCATTGCCCTTTCACAATGAAGTGAATTAATAATAGTTCAATGTGTAACACTTGAAAATTTTAGAGGTTATTCTATTAGCTATAGAAACGTTGTAAAATAATAACAAAAGATTCATAAAAGCAAAGTCCAACGAAATGTTTAGTCACTTGACAACAAAGCCAGAGACAAATAAAAAATTGTTATTTCACAAAACATTTTAATTTTAAAGTTAAACAATAAGACAGGTACAATTGTTACTTAAAGAACCTGTTCGCCTTCTACCATTTCCTTCAGGTTTAATAATTCAAACTGTCCACTTCCTTTTGTTTCTGTTCTGATCATGTCATCTAAATTTCTAAAGCTGCCGGGGTCTATCAAGCAAATGATGTTAGCTGTTCCTGACTCCCAATTTTCCTCTTCAATGCTCATAGTCAATTTAACCACTTTTTCCCTTGTTTTTTTAGCATCTTTTCCACTAAGGACGATCCTTACTCTCATCTGTGCTCTTTCTAAAGGTATTTCTTTTTTCAACAACTGTATTACATCAAGAGCTTGCTGTTTAGCACTTTTATTAACATTGACAGAGAAATGAATGTCTTTCATAGCTTTTTCTATAATTGAAACAGGATATGGTCGCTTTGTCTCAGGGTTGACACATTTGTCTGACACAGTGGTTGCAATGTCTTTAAATAAGGAATCAATCTGTGAATGTCGTTCCTTGTCGGACACTTGAAGTTCGCCCTTTTCCAATATTTCCTTGCATATCTCGGTTTGGTCATCTTTTCCAAATACTTTAACTAAATCTTCTTTTTTGGCAACTTGACCCTTCGACACATTTGTGAACACTGTGTGTGTTTGTAAAACCTCGTCAATATCTTTTTCCCTGTAACGTGTAAATAACATGATAAAGACGAAAACTTCGTTGTACAGGCTATTTGATGCGAATAGTAACTATTTACGACTTACAATTTGTTTCTCCATGACAAAACTTTATTTCTGTAACATGCTATTTCAAATCGTTTTCCACCTTTTTTCAATCTTACGATAGCAACGTTTGTTAAACGTATTTGGTTAGTAGGTGTGAATATTTTAGACATGTTGATTCGTGGATACTTTCATAGAATAAAGTTTATATTTAATCTTTAAACAAGATTTTCTTCTGAGAAAATTAAACAACAGAAATGGATTTGAGCCAAAGACAAACATAGGCAGCCACTAGGCAGCAAAGAGAATTTAAGCACTACGATAGGCAGGTCCAGTCCATAGATCATACACTCTATATTTGAGAATCCATTCCATTCATAGACATACGATTCCATTGGATAAATGTAATGTTACGTACATACTCTTCGGTCCATTGGAATTTATTTTAACGGTTTTTCATACTATTAATTATTTTAGTTACATTCGTACAATAAATTTTACTATTGACTACATGAGTATAGTGTTCTGTGACATTGACCTACTCACAAATGGACGTCGGGTTCACGCTAAAAAGTGTCCGCACCTATAGGGCGTTGCTAAAATTGCATACAGAGCATCAATCTTCGTTTGTTGAGCGCAACAGTCTTCGTTTGTTCGACTGACAGTACTATACAGGGTGTAACCGCAAGGTGTAGTCATATTAAAGGAGCCAAACCTATACTTGATCTAGACCCTCTGTGCAAAATATCAAATAAAAATAAGTGACTTTTAATGTTGATATAACTTTAATTATGTTTGTATAAATAGTGATTGTCCGAAACAACCACTGCGTCACAACTCTATTGCTAGTTACGTTACTACGACTTCACAAATTCATTAATGAAACCTGGGCGGCCGCAAGCGGGGCGAAAGAACAGCTGACTACAATTGAAATGCCACTGTAAAAACATGATTTGAATATGTTGATAACACGTTAATATTAAGTAACAAATCTTTAAATACCTAGAAAAATCGAATTATTTCTAACAATATTATTTTATACCATACCTAGGTACGTACTTATTTACATACAATTTAAAGGATATTTATTTACTTATTAAGCCCGTAGTTACGCACGCCTTCATCGTATACACATTCTACATAATTTTGTATTAATACATTTATTTACGACAATTTTACAATAGTGGATACTTTTTTAATTGGTACTTACCTACTGTGCAATTCATACACGTTTTAATGAATTTCCTACGAATTGTAATTCACTGTTGTACAATGTACGAAATATTGACTTGTTTACGATAATTTTGAATAATAAGTACAATCACTACACGCACTGCTGGCACATTTCACACATTTACAGGTAAGGTTCAAAATGCCGACCTCCATGCAATATGCATATTTCCGTGCGTCGGTACAGAGACTGCTCTACTCTTTGAAGCATCTGCCGAGTGATTTGACTAAACGCCATTTCGATCCGCTGCCTCATTTCTTCTGCGCTTTCACAGGACTCCGCATAAACAATATTTTTATATGACCCCACAAAAAAAATCGAGCGGTGTCAAGTCTGGGGACCACGCTGGCCAGGGTACAGGACCTCCCCGCCCAATCCACTGCGGGAGACGGTCGTTCAGATGGGAACGTACATTTCGAGCAAAATGTGCGGGTGCTCCATCGTGCTAGAAAGTCATCCCGTGTTCCATCACGAGTCTCACGTATTGTGTCACTGGCAGGGCCATCAGAACGTCACCCAAGTCTTCTGTTAGGAATCTTAAATAATTGGCCCCATTCAGACTTGCCGGCAAAAACACTGGACCGATGACGGCACAACCTATTATACCAGCCCACACGTTAATCCGCCACTGGTGTTGAAAATTTGATTCCCTTGATACGCGGGGATTCAAATGAGTCCAAAAATGTTCATTATGCATATTGATAATGCCCGCACGCGTAAATGACGCCTCGTCTGTCCACAGTACCGACGAAGCGAAGTCGGGAGACCTCCCAACCTGGTCGCGGTACCAGCGGCAAAATGCCAAACGTAGATCATAGTCCGCTTGTAACAGCTTCTGCGTTCTTTGAAAATGGTATGGGTGCTGGCCATCATCCCGTAGCACACGCCACACACTCATATGGTTCACACCACCAAAGGCTGCCGCAGCACGACGAGTACTTGTCTTTGGATTGCCGAGAAAATGTTCCAAAACATCTGCCTCGAATTCTGGGTCTCGTGAACTCGGCCGGCCTTCAGAACTGGAACCACGGAACGATCCACTATTATGAAGTCTCATAACCATCTTCCTGAAGCATTCCACAGCAGGAAATGGTCGACGTCGATTTTCTGGGACGCCATCAATAAACTTTGCCCAATAAATTTGGCGAGGCTGGCGCAAGCTCCCATCGGCTGCGCCTACGCACAACATCATCTCTTAGTAATCACTATTGCTTAAGCGTGACATAGTTTAAATAAACACAAAAACAAGACACAAACAAAACGATGACACCTATTTAGTCCTCACAACGCAAACGGCAATTACAGACTGTTACAAAAAATTAAAAAATAGCACCTCTGCCTCAGCGGCGGCACATCAAAGGACGCCGACTGAAACGCAAATTTTGGAATATAGGGTAACGTTTTCATAATGTACCTACAGGGTGAAATTAAAATTATTACCATCCTTTTGAAATAAGACCCTTCTCCTGATACAAATTACATCATTACATACACATTAAACGAATACCTATATCCTACGTCTACGACCTTCAACGTTGCACTGCATACGCCTTTGTTTGTAAACAAGCTCTGACCATCACCCGTACCACTTCCACATAATGCAAGAACTGACTGAGTGATTACGGATATACTGCACTAAGGAGGCAGTCACCCATCGGAAACTCACGACGTCCGAAACGAAAGCCTAACACACTAACCACTACACCATGGAGGCAGTCGACTATAGGAATCAAATCCACGACCTCCGAAACGAAAGCCTAACACTCTAACCACTACACCATGGAGGCAGTCGACTATGGGAATCAAATCCACAACCGCCGAAACGAAAGCCTAACACTCTAACCACTACACCATAGAGGCAGTCGACTATGGGAATCAAATCCACGACTTCCGAAAAGAAAGCCTAACGCTCTAACCACTAGACTATGGAGGCAGTCGACTATGGGAATCAAATCTACGACATCCGCAAAGAAAACCTAACACTCTAACAACTACCCCATAGAGCCAGTCAACTATGAGAATCGAATCCACGACCTCCGAAACGAGTCTAACATTAACCACTAATCCACATCACCATGTATAAAATCAAATGCTGGCGGCGAAAATCAAAGGTGATATTTTTGCCGCCAAAGTTGCCGCCAAAGGCTTGCGACTTCGCTACGATTACGTATCGCGTACGCAAGGCGACTAATCTTGATACTTTGTTTATTTAGGTAAGATTTTTTATGGTTTTACACTATTGCTAATTTAAACTATTCTAAAATATTTCTTTAGATGAGTAGATATTATTAGGAAGTAAGAACCTTAATAGGTTCAACGGATATTAATTATTTCAATTTCACCATGTAATAAACCCATACCCAGAAAGTTGTCGTGTGTAGATAAGTCAAATTAAGCGTAAGCCTGTTGTTAGAAACGTGCGCTCAGCAATAGACGTATGTAAGTTAGTAAAGTACTATTTTTTGCACAAGGTTTAGTCCACTGCACTTGCATAGTAAGTACTGGTTGGAAACTTGACATTCTCGCATCTTTGAAGATTTCGGCAATTATCTCCGAAATCCAAGTTTTCTCACGATATTTTCATTTCCAAGCAAGTGATGAAAATTTATTTTATTTTTATTTTTTATTTTTTATTTATGGCACAATGTACAGACATCAGACACAGAAAGTGAGGAAAATAAAAACACTTAAAAATTAATACAACAGGCATATCTGTGCCCAATTATTACTGTGCTCAACATTCATTTTAAAACATTTAGATATACTTAAACAGACACTAAATCAATCATAAAAAAAAAATTAAATTAAATTAAAATTACAATAATTAATTCGTGGTCAACGATCAAAACTAATTTCTTGACGTTTACCGACCTTCAGGTTGCACCTTTACGATGAAAGTGTCCCAATACAAAATTTCAACTTTTTGGGAATAAAAAAGAAAATAAGATTTCAAGTTTTTTCATATTTTCATATTATTTTATTTATTACCTACTCTTGAAGTACTAAAGGTGATGGCCTTATTAGTCTTTGAAAATAATGAGGAAAAATGGAACTTTACAACTGAAAATTGTTTCTGATCATTTTAATGTTCAACAATTTAAAAACATAATTTACAAAAACTAGTCGCCAATAGGTCTTTTTTTTAACGATTTTTTGTTATCATTTAACGTATTAAGAATTAAGTCTTTTTAATGTTCATCAGCTAAGCAAGATGTCATAACCCTTGATATTGTTTTGTGGTCCCTGTTTCACAATTAAAAAAGAAGAAAGTCCACGAAACAAAAAAGTAAGTCCCTTTAAAAAGTAAGTTACTAAAAAAATTTTTTTTTTTTAAATATTAAGCGACGTGTCGAACAAGTCGTGTACCCGGTGGAAAGCGTCACGCCTGTCCATAACAGTAGCACTGCCGCTCGAAGGCTACTGCTACGGCGTCCATCTCTCTGAGACATAGTTGACAAGTCCCATGTGCCTGTAATTTCACCAGCACCCTTACCCTTCAAAACTGTAACACGGTAATGTGGCAGTACTACCCTGGACGAACTCACAAGGAGCTCTACTGCTACTAGTGATTTTTGAATATGATTTTCGGAACGAAAATGGCTCAAATGCTAATCCGTCAGTGGCAGCGTGTTGTCTTTGCAAATGCAGATTCAACAATAAATGCGGCGTTAATATTTCGACGCGGGAGTAGAATTTTTAAACTGAAAGAACAAAATGAAAGGGACCTTTATGAATCAGTGCTATTCGAGCTTTAATTGCACAATTTCATCTTCACCACAGTGTGACTAATGTAACAAAATATTTTTTTAAGATGGTTTTACGGTATAAACTCATTTTTTAATTTTTTGATTTGGGTCGCTTTCATTGTAAGGGTGCGAAGTATTAGTCGGATAATTGCGTCATATTGCGTCATGCGTTAGAAGAAACATACCGACTGATTCCGCCATGCGTTAGAACAGTACCGACGGATAGAAAGAGACAAATTTCATTCATTAAAATACAATAGATGAATGCGTATGGTAAAAAGAAACAGAGATAACTTTAAATATGTGTTTTTTAGAGGACATTAGTTTTATTAATGGATATTAAATGGAAATTTGTGTATTTTGTATGTTTGAAGATATGAAGTTAACGAAACCATATTACGTTATTATGTACTAAGTTTTAAATAATAGTTTTATTATGAACTAGTGTATTTTGGCAAAGTAATCGATAATATTTATTTTTCATTAAATGTTCACACGCATATTACATGAATAAAATAATAATAAATTTAGTAAATTATAACATAGTAATAAGAATATGGCATTAAGTACTTTATCATTTACAATAACATGCCTGAATTTCACAATTTTTTCAAGTTACGTAATTTGGTTGTATTATGATACTCAATAGAGATGTGATGTGACTATTTATTTTCGTTAAATGACATCAGCTGATCGAAACTGTTCATGGCGAAATTTCCATAAATAACGTAGTTTGTACTAAAACAACTTTGCTAAATAGTTTCATACCATTAACTGAATCCGACCTTCAAATATGACTACACCTTGCTGTTACACCCTGTATAATAATAACTTGTAAAAATTACTGCAGTAAAGTGTGAAAACAGGATTTCGTATCATATTTTAATTAAACAAATAAATTGTGTTATCATAGTTATCATTTAAAATTGTTATATTGTACAGTTGTTTAATATTTAATTTATATATAAATTAATCGTATATTTACGAATTACAAAAGCAAACAAAATAATCAAAGCTAACTGTCCTTTTTCTAAACATTGCATGCACAAAAGATACCCACTGGAAACACAAGCATTGGAAATACGACCCTAATGTCAGGGACTTGAGTATGATTTCGAGTGCTTTAAACCATACCCAAATCCTGACTTAAGCATTGAGTAGAGTTCTGGAATACGAGTCAATTTCAAGAAGCTTCTGTAAACTTCATAGTAATTTTCAATTGTTGAACCTGTTCGAACCACAAGCGATTGAAATATTTACAACAAAGAAACTATAGTCACTTTGATTTTAACCTTATTTTTAAAATGTTTTTTTTATTTTTTATTAAACGTTAACAATAATTAACAATATAGTGTTGTATTCGTTTTACGGCTTGGGCTTATCGGAAGTCAGAAAATACATTTTCCCGAAATAACGTTAGCTCGAATTTTCATAATGTCAAATGTATTTTTTTAGGAATATTACAAAACAAAAGCTAATTTTGTATTTGTGAGAAGCATCAAAATTACTTGAAAGCGTAACAGTTTTATTATAAATTGCTTTTCGGAATTACGGACATTTGAGTTTACGTTTTGTTGGAACATCGTACAATATTATTTTCACATTTGCAATATTTTTTTTGTATGTATCTGCCCAACTCTTTATTATTTCTTTAAGTAAATTTGTACAAAATTCGGCATACTAATATACATAAAAATTAACTAATATTTACAATAAAGGCTGCTCCATTACTCTTGTGTTTAAGTAATTTTCAGTCGAAGCTGAATATGGTGCATTTTCTTAAATTTTCAGTAGTAGTTGAATATGGTGTTTTTGGGCCCTTAAATTATTGCAAGCAAAATTAGGCACATTGCATTACTGCAATGACGTTACAATTAAAATTATTAAACTAATTTAGTTACAATTTAAATTGAATGTTTTAGTTTTTTTATATTTCATTACATATCACTACGTTTGTATAGGTTAATTTCGGACCATTTTTTCGTAGTTTTTGTATTAGACACGATGTCCATTTGTTGGTAGGTCAATGATTGACAAGGAAACAAAATATCTACATACATATTATATGTAGCATGTACACTATACGCATTACAAGCATGTAGTTATTTTGTTTCCCTTACCTACACCATAATTTTTTGTTCGTTCAGTCTAGTGCAAAAATATCGGACTTGTAAACATAGAATAATTCCTTCACATCTTTTTGGGTTAAAATTATTATATTAATAGGGAATTAATATTTATAATATTAATATTGTAAATAATGCAACTTGCAAACCCTGTGACCCCGATCATTTATTTTTCAATTGTCCACTTTTTAATCTCCAGCGATTGTTATTTATTTGTTTAAACAAATATATTGTAAACAGATAATTAACCTAATACTGTCTAATATAATCTTTAATTTTTTCATGAATACGTTTGACCCTTTGTAAATACTTTCTTTTTTATTACTTTAAATTGTTGTTTTTATATTTCATCCATTCTCATAAAATTATTGTTACTAACATTTTATTAAATTCGATCAACTTCTGTTGTTCCAATTCGTTTCATTCAATACAGTAAAATAATTCTTTTTAGAACTCTACTCAATGCTCAAGTCAAGACTTGACTATGATTCAAAGCACTAAAAATCATACTGAAGTCCTTGCCATTAAGATCGTATTTCCAGTGCTTGAAATCATACTCAAGTCTGCTCAAATCCTGACTTGAGGTGTCAACGTCAATGTGGAAATGTTGGAAATTTTCCATCCTCAAAGGAAAAATACGATTTTTTTTCCGAAAATATAATTTCTTCAAAATGACAAACCCAACACTAATAGGAAGTATCTTTATTTCTTTCTTTTTCTTGACTTTTATGGCTTTTCGCGGTTTCCACATACACATTAATGTTCTCTGCGTTGTGTCTGACATGGCAGATCTAACAAAATTATAATTTAATTAATTCGATTTCGTATTATATTGATTGAATTCACTATTCAAATTAAATAGCAACCCTGAATTTAAAAAATAATCAGTCAAAGACGCAACACGACGTGTATTTCTTGTAGAAGTTGTCCGTCATTTTGTTAGATTTGTGTATTTTGTCGGCAATTTTATGTGATTAATCAAAAAAATGGCGAAATTGGTTGATATATACAACAGCGAAAAAGAGCCTGTAATAAAAAGACGGCAATTGCCGTTAATTATCTACGAAAATCTTACCGTAAGTGGGTTACTGCACTTTGACATTACCACAAACGTAGATTATTCACGAACATAGAATTTTATTAACGTTAAAGTCCTATGAAATACGCCTTGTACATATACGGATAAACACGTGAAGATAGTTTGCATGCTTGAATGTCCAAAAAGTGGTATTTTTGTTAGTATCAAGTTCATTGATTTCTCCAATGGCAATGACGTTTTCTAGTTGACCTTATTTGCGGATTTATTCCTTTGTTGACAAATGGTCCGCATCATTTTGCAGATGATTATGGATTTAAACACTATGGGGCTGATTTGTGATAACCCGCAAGTGAAAGGACGTGAATTCGAAGATTTCATGCGCAAGTATAGGATCCTCACTACAGATGAGCTCAAAGCCGCGCTTAGAGTCGACGCTTCTGATATTATTAACGTTTTAAATCAAAGCATTCCTTGTGTTGGCTGTCGAAGAAGGTTTGTACATTTGATTCTCCTACTACAGTCATCACATTTTTTATTAAATGTTGTATAACATAAGTAACTTATCCAGGCAAAAGTTGATGTAAGATCTTGCAGATAATGTTCACTTACTTACCATACTTATTTTTTTGAACATGCTTAGAGTAAGAAGTAAATTAATTTTGTTAACACAGATCCCTTTTATTATCTCCACTCTGGGTATCTATGGTAGACTGTTTGAGCAATGTTTTCAGAACATTATTTCCCTTATTAAGATTTTCAAATCACCATTATTTAATAATAAATGTTCAGTAACCGCAGTTATAGACTGCTATAGTACAGCTAGTGTGCAGCCAGCTTGCATTTGTGTCAATTGCATATTAACTTCAAGAAGACTGCACTGGCAGTTTGCAGATGTCCTAATTGCATTTCAACTGCTACAGCATATTTTGCAGTAGGAATGCAGTTTGTAGTACATCTGAAGAAGTACTTTGGATTTTTATATACAAAACACTACAAATATAAATACATTAATTTTTGTGACTGAATCATAAATTCCTATATTATTGTTTAACTTTTCAGTGTGGAACGTCTCTTTTATCAGTTATGTAAGTCTGGTCATCCCACATTAGATCCTCTAGTCCTAACCCAGGATGAGATTATGACTATTAAAGAAGACAAAATAACACATCCACAGTCACTTGCCACTCTACTCAATGGTCACAGGTAAGCATTCTAAGGGCGCATGTACACGCTAAGAAATTCGACATGTCTGCTTCAGAAGAGACGAGAATGGTCTTGTACACAACAAGAACTTTGTTGGATCTAGCTACGAAAACATGTTGTGTCTGTTGCAGATGAGAAAATAATGAGTATGTACATCATACAAATGCTTTCAGACAGACATGTGTAGGGTAAAATGTGTCAGTGCATTACAAGTCTTCTTGGTAGCTGTTGTTTTACTACCAATTGTGGGAAGAAATATGTTGTTGTATATGTTGACTACTAAGCAACACCCGGCCACGCGCATAAGCGTTCGTTTACTGACAATGCACCTCAAATGACTGACAATGCACCTCATCCAGCCCTATACAATAGCAGTGGAGTGAGTCATGTCGGAGGTGGACAAGATTTTGTTCTTGTCCAGCACTGAGGCAGTGTACACAGTGCGTGTGTAGACACGAATTCTTGCATAGACCCGGCAACTTTTCTTAGCGTGGACATGCGCCCTGACTGTTATTAGTGTTAGTAATTTCAAAACTGGGTTTTTGGTCTGTTCAACTTAATATATCTGCCATTTTCTAATCTACAGTAAAAGACAAGCACCCAAGAACTTTAATAATTTATATAATTTCAAAATTGCTATTGACTAAAATTCATCAACCTCATACGTCCACTAAACTTTTGAGTAGGCACTAAAAACAGAATTACTAGAAATAATTATATGACAAACCATGATTATACTTATATCTTATAATTTGTAACTAAAATACAATCCATGATTGTCTTATGATTTAAAAATGGGTCTAGAAATTATATTTGAAGCTTGAATTGCCTAATATTTGACATGAAAAATAAAAAAGAAATTACGCCCAACAACAATATCATGTTTTCAAATTTAGCCAATATTTTGCTGTTTATGAAATACATTTTTTATACTAGTAAGCTATTGAGAAAAATAAAATTCTGGTAATGTTTAGCTTTTAGGTATGTAAGATGTTTTTATATGTGTGATTATTTTAAATGATAAATAAGCAAAAAATATCTATTAACAAAGTGCTCAAAAACGCCTAAATTAATATTAATTTTTATTTAGAGAACCTGCCTTAACAAATGAGCTAATTATGTTTAATTTTAATTTGATGTATAATTTGTTTACGAAGAAATGAAATTTTATAAATTTAAAAAGTATGCTATTACAATGAAGTACATCATCCTAAAATTATTTCAGTTAATGAAACAATTGCAAGTTTCTTTGAGTGTAGGTAGTTAATAGTAGAGAAATTAAAAGGCTACTGCTTGGCAATGTGGCTGTTAGGTCTTAGGTTAGCGTTATGACTTAGTTATATGAGATTAAACAGTACAATAGTATGAAAGATATAACTTGAAACCTTAAATTGTCCTTACAGTACTGGAATAGAGTGTTTAATCCTAAGCCAGCCACGATGGAAAAAGTCGCAGCGCTGCACTCTGCACTCACTGGAGGCAGGTAGTGCGCGGGGATGGGGGGCGAGTGGCGCGTGCGCTTGGGGCTGGGGTGCCTGGGGGTGGGGAGGACGAGCGGCCTGGCGTACAGCCTGGGATGCCATGCGGTCCGTTGCTCGTGAGCATGTCACGCTAATACATTTCAACACTCTACACGACACTCTTCACAATTATCTAAGAAAACACCGTTTCTGTGCCGACTGTAAAACCAAGGTAAGTTGTAGTTATTTTCTTTTTTTTTTAAGACCGAATAATGCGTACGACTATAGCAGTTGCATATTGCTTTCTGAATGGAATTAGTCTCTTTTTCTGTTTTTTTATTTACTTCAAAAAAGGAGGTTCTCAATTCAACTATATTTTTTTTGTGTGTATGTTACACGATTACTCTGGCATTTGTGAACCGATTTTGATGATTCCTTTATTGTTGGAAAGAGAGTACCTCGGTATTGGTGCCATTTAAATTTGAAGAAAATATTCCACCTCTATGGGTGGCAAACTAGGGGATGAATCCGGTTTCGCGCACTTTCCGGTAACCCATTTCAATAAATTTTGGCAAATTACATCTAGTAATTCCATGAACTTTGAGGTCGTTTTTTTTTAAATAAAAAAGTTATAATTATGTTATGATCAGCCCCCGTAGCATGGCTACGCATGATAGTCGCGATAAAATTGGAATAAGCGCGCGCTATTGGCTGTCTTAATCAGATCTAATTTAGATAGCCAATACCGCGCGCTTATTTCAATTTTATCGCGCGCGTCGCGACTATCATGCGTAACCATGCTACGGGGGCAGATTTGTATTAACCCTATATTATTATATTTATGTATAATATAACTATATGAAATAAATTACGCCTGTTGGTTGATTAATGTACTGTCTACGCATCACCTGAAAACTATTGCATGAAATTTCACAGTTGAATAGCGTTGCTTGTTTAAAAGGGTGTTTTTTTCGTGATACGTCGTTTATAATAATTGCATTACAATCAATCGAGTAAGCTGTGGTCAACCAGCTGGTCTACAGTAACACGTGACAAATTATTTTAGTAAAATGAGATTGTGTATTATGAAAAGTAACTTTCTGTTATATGCTATCCACAACGTTTATTACTGCAGAAACAATGTAAAGATTAAATAAAAATAATTTAGATAACAGTAGTCCGTCATTTATGTATTTAGTAAATATTTAACATTATTTAACAGTTGAGAAAAATGTTTAACATTACAATGATCTGTTTTTCTTCGATGTGTAACTTACGTACAAATGTGTCTATAGTATAATATAAATTGATAAAACCGCAACATCAACGTGGTACTATTACTTATCGCGGATGCGGTTTTCGAGATGGATCCATTAAATACCTCAATGAAATTAAAAGAATGAATACCTATATATTTCACATTAACACTAAATTACGAGTATGTAAGTCGAATAGTGATATAATTAATTAATTATACTTATACATCGTATAGCACGTACGAAAACTTTACTTTGAACTGTTTGAATAGGTTTTAAGAGCTTATCAGCTACTAGTTGAAGAAAAAGAGCCCCAGAAAGAAAAAGGCTATGTAGGAACACTATATAGTGGCATTAAAAGATGCCTGTTGGACAAGCATCTACATCTGCAAGCAAAAACGGACTATATCGAGCAACTTATAACTAGAGCCGAACCGGAACTACTGGGTAACCATCGTGAAAGGCATGCCAAGACTCTTGAAATTGCACAGGAAGAGGTAAGGAAGAAATCTTTTAGTGATATTCTTTTTTCTAATGATAGTTATTGATGGGAAATGAAACTATTTTACCGGATTTAAATCGCGTATATTTGTTTTTTGAAAACAATCCGACGTTACGTATAACAAATATACGCGATTTAAATCCGGAAAAATAGTGTCATTTCTATTTATAACAATCGCGAAAACCTAAGTACTCGAGATGTTTATTGATTTATGAAATTGAATTTGTTCCATACATTGGTTACATATGATGAATATGTAACAAATTCAATGAGTACGGCTAAAGATTCTTGAGGTTTTCCTTAAGTGCCTTGCTTATGTTTTATTGAAATTAGAAAATGTGGAAAAATATGGAACAAAACTCGAGACACATTTTCAATAAATAAATTTCTTGTCAAGTCTTTACTTTGTGTAAGTGTTATACTCTTATTTGTTTTTATTAAAAAGATATTGAAAAATATTTTGCTATCTCAAGCTTTTTACAATTTGTAAAAAGCATAATGAAACTATTGTGTGAATGAGGAAAGCGAGTGCCGGTTTTTTTTGTTTCCTTTGACTAAATCATTGCAAAACGATTCAATACACTCAATAGAGTGTATTTTTAGTTACAAAATCTCGCAAACTATATTGATACCACTATTGCTTTTGTTAAAGTAAAAGAAATGCTACTGATTCCTATATCAAAACCTTATACAGAATTTACCTAATTCATTGTTGGATTCTATAGTGAATATTAATATAGATACAAATCTATGAGCGCTACACGGTGGTGACATTTGGCTCGGCCAAAATTAATAGCGTATGTCGATCATCGCCGATTTTGTTACCCGTTTTGTTGACAATATTTACATAAAAATGAACACTTTCAGGCAAAATTAAGCGTAACTACTACTACATAATATATGAGCATATTTTCTATACTTATAGGTGTTGATATGTCTTGGCATCTGTATATACGAGCGGCTACAGCGTATCTCTCTCCGGCTGCGCGAGGAAGAAGGCACGTGTCAGACATTAGCGGCGGTTACGGTGGAGGCGCTTTATCGCAAGTTCGAGACCGCCGTCGAGCAGAAGAGCGGCGTCTCTAAGTTACAACTGTTGTACGACGAGATAACACAGGAAGAGCTCACGCGGCAGCAGAGAAAGGAACAAAAGAAATTGAAAAGGCGCAAGAAGAAGGAACGGCAAGTTGTTGAGACTAAATGCAAGGTTTGTCTTTAGGCATTTTTTTTTTCAATATTGTAATTTCGACAAATTATAAAAAAAAACAGTCATACAATTTGAAACAACATTAACTTGTTTGTGAAGTCGCAGTGAAGAAGAAGTAATATATACGTTTAGTAGTAGTAGTAGTAGTTTGTTAAAAAGCAATAAAACATGTTGAGTCATAATACCCTATTGTGTGCTCAACTAAAATATTGCATCTGTGTGTAGGAAGCGGACTCAGAGGAACCTGAAGAAAAATGCCAATGTGAAGAATGTATACTAGAAGAACGAGACACACCAACCGACCTGCTTTCGCCGCGTGATTACAACCAGTGTTACGAGACTGGCGGAGATGGCTGCACGTCGTGTCTAGACGACTCAGCAAAACGTCACTCGCCTAAAAAGTCTAGCAAGAAACAGGCCAAAAATGGCAACATCTCACCTAACGATCATTCACAGGATTGCGGATACTCGTCAGGAAACAACGGAGGTTAGTATGGATTGCATAATATTTGGTTAGAAGTTAACGTCTTTTTAATTTTACGTGGGGCGCACTATAAGTTTCCGGAATGAATAATAAAAAATACTATAAATGGTCAGAAATGAATTTATTGTTTCTCAAAATATTCTCCGTTAGCGTTAATGCACTTTTTCATACGAATGAACCAATTTAGAAAACATTTATGCCACTCCTCCGTGATAAACTCTGAAACATATTTTTCATACTCTTCGAAAGCCTCTTCAGATCATGAAAATCGTTGACCGCGTTCTTAATTTTTGGAAACAAATAAAAGTCACAAGGTACCAGAACGGGACTGTACGCAGGATGGGTCATAAGGTCAACGTTGTTCACCTTCAAAAATTCATTTGTCTGTCTGGCCGTGTGAGAACTGGCATTATAGCGGTGCAAGATTATACGGCGTTTACGGTTATTTTTACGGAGTTTGCCAATAACTTCCGGCAAACAAATGGTCGTGTACCAATCACTATTCACGGTACAACGATTCTCCAAAGCACCAATAGCCACGTGTCCAGTTTTATTAAAAAAAGAAGCAATCATCTGCTTAGAGGTACTTTGCACGCGCGCCACTTTGGTTGGTTTCGGCTCATCTCGAAAAACCCATACGCTCGATTGCTGCTTTGTTTTGGGATCGTAACTACTTATAAATCTATGTTTCGTCACCTGTTACTGTGTCCCACACCAAATTTGACGCCCCTTCGTTGAATCTGGTAAGCATGGCATTGCACCAAGTGATGCGATCCGTTTTTTGAGCCTCAGTCAAATTGTGTTGGATCCACCAAGAGCACAGCTTTTTCAAACCCAAATGTTTGTGTAGTATTGATTTTATTTGACTCATGTCTATGCCTAAAGATGCTCTGCTGAGCTGTTAAATTATACTTTAAAGTCGTAGAAAATCATACTACGAAAATTTTCACGAGTTAAACGCATGGTGATGTAGACAACCAATTTCTAAAATGACGGCACGATGTAAAAACAAGTGACAGTTGATTAATCATATATTTGATGCATGGGAAGTCTCACATGATGCTATTGGCGTATTCTGTGACCTTTCTAAGGCTTTTGATTGTGTGCACCATGATACACTGGTCAGGAAACTTCGCCATTATGGTGTGGCGGGACATGATCTTGACCTTCTTAAATCGTATTTGCGTGGTAGGGTCAGTGTTGGGCGTTAATCAATTAAATTTCAATCAATAATTCAATCAGATTAAAAAATCAATTCAATTGAAATCAATTGCAATTAAATCAATTGCGACGATTGCGACGCGTCGCAATTGATTTAATTGCAATTGATTTTAATTGCAATTGATTTTAATTGCAATTGATTTTAATTGCAATTGATTTCAATTGAATTGATTTTATTTGCAATTAAATTTGCAATTGAAATCAATTCCAGCCGGTTGGGGCCCCGGTTGGGGGGCCCGGGGCCCGGTTGTGGGCCCAGATGGGGGGGGCCCGGTTAGGGGCCAGTTAAGGGGCCCCAACTGGGACCCCAACCGTGCCCCCAACCGGGGTACCCAACAGGGCCCCCCAACCGGGCTCCAACCGCGCCCCCAACCGGGCACCCAACAGGGCCCCTCAACCGGGCTCCCAACTGGGTCCCTAACCGGGCCCCCAAGAAGGGCCTCCAAGCGGGCCCACAACGGGGCCCTGAACCGGGCCCGCAACTAGGACCCCAACCGTGCCCCCAACCGGGTCGCCCAACTGGGCCCCCGACCGGGACCCCAACCGGACCCCCCAACCGGCCACCCAACCGGGGCCCCCAACCGGGCCCACAAGAGGGGCCCCCATAACCAACGCCCTAACTCACCCCCATATGCCCTATAAATTTATCATAATTGTCAGTTTTAATTGTTAGTTGTTAATCAAAAACATTGAAAATTGATTAATTGTTAATTGTAGATATTTATATTGCTGTTTCGCAATTGACAATTAATTAATTGTCAATCTTTAATTGCCAGAACAATTAAATTTTGCCCAACACTGGGTAGGGTACAGAGGGTCGATGTTCGGTACGAGATCATCAGGGTCTGCAATTAGCATGGGTGTCTCTCAAGGTTCAATTCTAGGCCCATTTCTGTTTTTAATTTATATTAATGACTTACCTAGCCTTATGAAGGGTATAAAACATGAGATAGTATTGTTTGCTGATGATACTTCCTTATTATTTAAAGTTAAAAGGCACCAATGTTCCTACGACGATGTGAACAATGCTATATCTAAAGTAGTTGATTGGTTTGCTGTTAATAACCTACTTCTTAATGAGAAAAAAACAAATTGTGTGAAATTTACATTACCCAATGTTAGAGAGACGGTTACAAACATTGCAGTTAGAAACGAAAGATTGAGTCTTGTGGATACCGTTGTATTTCTAGGTATAACGTTAGATGCTAAATTGCAATGGGGTCCCCATATAAGTAAGTTATCAAAACGGCTCGGCTCTGCACGCGTACACTGTACGCGATTAAAAAAATAAGGAAACTTTCAGACGTCGAAACCGCGAGACTGGTTTACTTCAGCTACTTTCACAGTCTAATGACATACGGCATTTTGCTTTGGGGTAATGCCGCCGATATCAATAGAATCTTTGTCCTGCAAAAATGTGCAGTTAGGGCAATTTACAATCTGGGCCCCAAAGTATCTTTGAGAGATAAGTTTAAGAAAATTAACATTCTTACACTAGCCTCACAGTACATTTATGAAAATGTAATTTATGTTAAAAGGAATAGTAATTTCTTTATGAAAAATAGTGACAGACATAACATTAATACGAGGAATAAAAATAAACTAGCTTTTCAAAAAATCATTTAAGGGGCAATGTATACTTTTCTATAACAAGATTCCGGTTGATATACAAAATTTGCCTTTCACGAGGTTTAAAACTATAGTGAAACAAAAACTTTATACTAAAGGTTATTATACAACTTCTGCATACTTGGATGACAAAAATCCGTGGTAGTACCCGTTTAGCTCATGGAGGTAGTCTCGATCTCTGATGTTTCAAATAAAAAAAAAAATATTGTAAATGTTATTTACCAAGAGCAACCCCTAGTGTCTTGCTCATTCTTCTCAGGGCAATCTGCCTTACGAATGAGCGGTAGAGTTTACCATTGTGACGATTTCAAGTGTAATAATGCTTACCTATGAAATAAAGATTATTTTGAATTTGAATTTTGAATTTGAATTTGACGTTCCAGTTCAAAACTTGCACCTGCAACTTCCAGTCAAGACTTACCTACACTTTATGCGTTATGGAATGTGTTTATATGAAACATTTCTTAATAAAATAATTTTTCAGGTTGCTGTGAAACTATGTCTGGATCTTCTTCCCTCATGAGCTCGCCTGAAGGCTCGGAGGTGGCATGCTCAGAGGGATTCTGCAACCACGAGAGAGGCGACTGTTTAGATATGAATAAAAATGACAAGTTATCATTACCCGGGTTTACGTTATCTCTGCAAGAAATGCTTAAGGTGAGCCTTTGCCTTGTGAATGAATGTATCACCTACTCATTATTAAAAAAAAGTCAAAAGTATAGTCACTGGAATGCGTGTCATATGCACTCTAATGTTGCCATTTATAATGTTAAATATAATTTGTTATAACATAGTTTTAAGATAATTGTTACTAACCAGCTATGAACTTTGTTTGAAATAAATTATTATTATTATTATTATTATTATTATTATAGTATGCTTATTTAACGTTTTTGTTATTCCAGAACACATGCTCGTCAGACGAAGAGGAAGACGCCAGTTATATTCCTATAGAAGACGTAATGGAATTCAAGTCACGTAGGAACACAACTGAGAAAAGACAAGAGTTACGACAGAACCTGCGCCAAAAGTTCGCCCAACTATGCGTCGCGCCACCGACGCTCACCGCGAAGGAAAAGCAGTCTGCTTAGTTTACAAACCTTCCAACTTTTCATGATCGAAGTCCACACATGTTTATAGAAAGTTTTAGCTGATGATCTCTAAATGTTAACACCAAAAAAGGACTTCTGTTATGGATTCCAAGTACAGTGCATTGTGAAACCAAGCCATTTCACACACCAATCAAATGGTTGATGGCAGTTTACAACTACATACTTTTTTAAAGTCTTGCACTTACAATAATCAGAATCCAAGATAGTAAGTGTATGGTAGTACCTTTAAATGTTTAAGTTTTAGCAGTGCCAGCACTGAACTGCAAAGTTGAAAATCTAAAGTCTTATCGTGAACTAAGAAAGAAGTGCTATGTTCAAATGTTTTACACCAAAAACATCAGTCGAAAATATAACTATATAATGATAATTAGAAATGTTCTCCATTTTTGATAAGATTTTATTTGAAACAATAGACGTTGCATTATTTTGTTTTGTATTTTATCTTTTTATTTGCATATTTGAATCAAGTTTATATTCTTTATTACTAGCATCCATGCATATATGTAAAATGTATATTAATTTTAATTACATCAAATTTAATACATGATTTTAACATTTGCCATAGACTTCTTGTAGGACATGTTGATGGGTGCTTTTAGTGTTTAACTACAAGATGTATATTGTAGAGAACAGCTAAATCAAGCATTATTATAATAGACCTGACACAAGTAAATAAAGTTCTGAAGATTGCAACAACACATGACTGGATGGAAGCCAACATTTAACAATATTTGCTATTTAAAATGTTAGGAAGCTTTGTAATGAAATATTTAAAGTAGCATTTTTTGATCAAATTATTTTATTTTCAATGCTTTATGTGACTCAATGATTATTATGGTACATGATGAATTATTATAGATTGTTATCAAAAGCTTTTAAACAGCATGAAGGCGGGAGTTACCTTGGGCAAGTTTGCCATTGTTATTAAAAATGTCAAAAACATTTGTAACTCAGTTTTAAATATATTATAATACAATGTAATTGGGTTTTAGTTTTTAAATCACATGCCATTATAAATAATTGCCTATTTCTTTTGCATAAATTTTAATTATATTGCATAGTTATAATAATTTAGTCTACACCAGTTATCTGATCTCATTCAAGTTCCTTGTATTATCAAAGTAACAAAATTCATCTGGGGCACAGGTCAAAATCTTAAATCTGCCCTATACATAGTGTTGCATTAGTACCACCAAATCCAAATGAATTTTTCAAGGCTATTCTCCTTTTGGATTCCCAGGTGTGGGGAACATTGGCAACATAGTTTAGGTCATCTAGAGGTTCCTCCAAATTTATTGTTGGGGGTAGGATCCCATAATGACATGCTAAAATTGTGAACACAGCTTCGAGATTTCCTGCTGCACCTAACAAATGTCCATGAGCACCCTTAGTTGATGATATTGATATCATTCCACAATGGGTATCAAACAGGGTCTTGATTGCCATTGATTCTATGTTATCTCCTATAGGAGTAGAAGTGGCATGAGCATTGATGTATGTAATTTCTTCTTTGTTTATGTTAGCGTCTTTCATTGCCCGCTTCATGGACAGAATAGCACCACTGCCATCTTCTCTAGGAGCTGTAATATGCGAAGCATCCCCTGACAATCCATACCCTAGAATCTCAGCATAGATCTTCGCATTTCTTTTCTGAGCATGTTCATATTCCTCTAAAACAAGCACTGCTGCACCTTCACCCATTACAAACCCATCTCTTTTCTTATCAAACGGTCTAGAAGCTTTTGTAGGTTCTTCATTAAATGATGTGCTTAAAGCTCTTAGCCGACAAAATCCAGCAATAGCAAGTGGACTAATGCAGGATTCAGCTCCTCCACAAACCATTACATTTGCATCACCGTTTCTAATAAATCTGAAAGCATCACCGATTGAGTGAGCTCCTGTGGCACACGCTGTTGAAACTGCATGGTTTGGGCCACGAAAACCATATCTAATGCTAATGTGTCCTGCTGCCATATTTGGCAATATTCTAGGAACAAAAAATGGACTGACTTTATTATAATTTTTTTTTAACATTTCATATGTATTACAGACATCTGTAAGATCAATCATTCCCATGCCAAGAGTTACACCAGTCATTTCTAATTCGTGTTCTGACTGTGACATCCAGTTTGCATCATTTAATGCTTCCAATGTTGCAAGCATAGCTAAACAGGTTGCGGGGGCCATAGCTTTTAAGTTGGTTGGTGATAATGCGTTTGATACAATATCACCCCTCACTCTCGGTATTACTCCAGCCAACCTGCAAGGTAATTTCGAGTATTGTTCTTCTCTTAAATAACTTATCCCGGACTGACCTTTTAAAAGATTTTTCCATGTTATTTCAGTACCTGTACCGATAGGAGATACTACACCTAACCCTGTAACGACGACTCTTCTTCGGTGTTCACCCGCAACATTTGAGAATCTTCGTACTTGGCGTAGGAAATTCGCTTTCATTTTGAAGAGTGATTTCTTAGGGCTAAAACAAAAAATAATTCTCAAAACCGTAAAAATACAGTAGATATACATTCTTTTTGCTTTTAGAACCTCATTTCAGTGTTCAGCTTCAGCTCCTACTATAAACTATAACTCTTTAAATCAGTGACCACACCACAGAACACGCAGAACACAATACCACAGACTGCAGTGAACTACGTTGGGAGCCGTCAATGTACAACACAGTAATGTCCAACACAAGAATGTACAGCACAGGAATGTCCGGCCCAGGAATTGGAGACAGGTCACGTGGTATCATCATTTTTGATAGGCTTTGTTCACAATGTGATGTCAGATCTTCCAAAATTTTACTCTTCTTTTTTAATTTTTACTTTTTAGCAACTGGCAGCTAGCAGTTTTAATAACTTATTTTTACTCTTTTTAAAAGCCACGATAAAATGAAGAACCACTTCCAACGAAAAATAAACAGCAGAAAGCTAAGCATACATACATCTTTCCTCTACTTTTGTACTTTTTTTGAAACGCTTCGTATCTGTTTTGGTTTATTGATTGAATTTGAAAAAGAAAATAACCTCAATCTGGCTTATCCAGTGCTACCCAAAATTGAATGCTTTTTGTTTTAGCAATTGGGTACTACTACACTACACTACGACTATTAACCTTAAAAATATTAATCTAAGTAATAAATTACCACGGCGTATTACCACGTAACTTAATCTTGTTTGGCGATGCGCATGCTAAGCTCAGGGCAATAACACAGCACTTTTTTCTTTTCGTGTGCTAAACTTTTATCTATTAATAAAGTTTATTATTTAAACTTTTATTTTTTATTATTTGTTGTATACTATTGGCACTCTCTTCGTATTAACTTTTTTAGTTCTTTTGAAAAATTATTAGTGGACCTTTGTTGTATAATAAAAGTGCAATTTTCTTCTCGGCGAACGCAGTGATGGTTAAGTCGTACTAAATGCTAGGCTTTTGCCTTCTTATGATCCCAGCATCAATAAACTTTACCTTTAACATTACCTCTCGAAAAAAGTTTGGCATTATAATGGCTCTCGTCTGTTCAATTTTCTTTTAAACAGAGTTTGATGTTTCTTAAAAAAAAAGGATTTCAAAGGATTTCTCCTTTACATTAAATTGCAAGGGTAAATCGTCGGCAATTGTGAGACGATTCGATTTGAAAATTCGGATATAGAGGCTCAGCTATAGAATAGCTGACGTCGAGTTGGGAGTTCAAATTTTTTTTGAAAATAGATCTAGTCAAAAGTATCCCTACCAATTTTCAGTTTTCCGATTTTTTGAAAATCGCGAAAAATCGAAGCAAAAAAGCGTATTTGACAACTATATATTACCAAAATTGTGTAAAAAAGCACGCCGACGTAATGTCTTGCGTTTCGATATTCACTGTCATGATATCGAGTGTTGTAAATTTGTCAAAATATTTGTATTGTAAACATTAAAACGCGACATCATTTCCGTCTATACATTTTTTTTCTTTCTTGGCCTTCCGGGGTTAGTGTTTCAGCTACTTACAAAGTACACAGGGTGTCCAGTAAGTAGCACGACAAACTGCGTGGGGTGATAGCCTAGGTCAAGGCCTACCTAGACAACATAAAGTATGTTCCGCAAAAATCAGTGGTTCTCAAGTTATGTAGTATTTAGTATAATTTAAAAAAATCCCAACCCTGCATCAGATTTTAATTTTAATTTACATAAAAAACTAATTTAAGGATTTTTTTTCAGCTGTAATTATTCTTGAATATTGGTTCAACATAATAGTAAATGTTAGGTTCCTAAGAAAAGCCGCAAAAAATATTAAAAAGGTCGTCAAACTTTTTTTCCTTAATTTTTTATTTCTTGACCTTTTATGTTAACCTACAGTGGTGTAAAAAAAATGTATGGGGCTGTTTTATTTAACCTTTTTTAAAACATGTCTGTTCATTGCTGATTTCAAAAAAGTACAACACTTATGGATTCCCTTTCCCACAAAATAAAATAAAAATATTTTTAACCAATGAGTAAAAATTTTCTAGAAATCAAGAATATCGTTACTTTTCTAAAACACCGTAATAACACTAGCCCAGCAATTCGGCTGCATCTAAAACACGTTTGCCATAGTGTCATTTCTCTCTCACTCCCTGTGGATGGGAATGAAACAATAGTGAACGGCTTGCCCCACCCCACAAGCGACCTATCTACCTGCCGAACCAGTTTGGACAGGCCGATCTAGTACGTTGCCGTTAGTCGTCACGCGCACACGCACAACTTTTTCATCGCCAAGTACTTTTTGACTCCTACCGACCGACCTATTATTTATTTACACCGGACTCTTGTTTCTGCCTTTCGATTTGGACTTTAATGTGTTTGTGATTACCCTGCGACAACTTGGCAAGCTTTTGGACTACGGACTGCACTTAGCTATTTGGATTTTTTGTGAAATCTTCAACTGCCGAAAACACTGTGCTGTTGTTGTTGTTGTTGAACATGGCAGCTAATCGCCGCGTTTATGAACCATACACTCAAAGAGAGTACGCTGAAATGCACGTTATTTACGGGGAAGCGGGCCAAATCTCCCGTGCTGCAGCGCGCCTTTATCAGGAACGATACCCTGACCGAAGACATCCACATCATGAAATGTTTACGCGAATCCATAACGCCTACACGCAAGGAAGACTGCCTGGTCAGCGAGGCGGCGGTGGACGGCCCCAAGTTGCCGACGAGGACATCATTCTTTAAGAACGACAAGACGATCCATCTACTTCGGTGCGGGGAATTTCACTGCGCACGGGTATCCCTAAGTCTACGGTTCATTCTGTGCTTCAAAGGCATGGATACTACCCGTTTCTTTTTTGGTGAAAAATAAAGGCATACGCCAAGTCTTCATTTCATTATACATTTTAAAGGCGATAAGCCTCGTCTTCGGTGGTCAAGTCAGGGTATAAAGTTCCAACTCCGAGTGTTCGTCAGGTCCAGTGGTCGACAATTCCGATTAATGCAAAATTCATTCTAAAGATCTTCTATTGTAGAACAAATGAAATTATAAATATGATTGTAAGTTTCAGGATTCTTGAGAAGTTCTTGAGTACCGCGCGGGATCGGACTCGAAGGTTGGTAAATAGATATTAGCTTATCAATTAAGGCTAAGCGCTGAATATTATAATTGGGGCAGTCAAATATTATATGGTCCAGTGTTTGATCAAAGTGTAAGTTGCATTCTGTGCATTTAGGCGACAGGGCTATTTTCATCCTATGTAAATGAGCATTGATGCGACAGTGGCCAAATCGTAAACGAGATATAACAGTATAAAATTTTCTTCCTTTGTATTGTTATGATTTGGAAAACCAAGGTTTTTTCCCAATATCTTGATTAATTGAAGCGTACCAAGAACCTTTGCGCATTTTAATATCCTTCCAACGAGTAAACCATTCAGAGAGGATATCTTTCTTGATTTTGGATATTAGGTCTGTATAATGGACACCATATGAGACAGTGGTGCCCTCATCAGTGTCCTGGCATCCTTTGAAGTTGCATGCAGTTTTCGCAAGGAAATCTGCGCTTTCATTGCCTCTCATACCTACATGTGCCGGTGTCCACATAAATTTCTCGTGAATGTTGTCATTACGTAGTTGCAACCACATTTCCTTAATATCGTAAATAATAAAATTAACTTTGCTGTTCATAATTGTGCTTTGTAGAGACTTTAAGATGCTCATACTATCCGTCACAATAAGCCATCTGTTAGTTTGTTTGCTTTGTTTTATAAACTTTAAGAATAGCCAGAGATTCCGCAGAAAAGATACTAAAACATTCTGTTAGCTTCTCTCCGTAACCGAATTTTAAATGTGGTACGTAAAAAGCAAATGAGGAGATAAATGCCGACTTTGAACCAACCGTGGTAAAGTGGTATCAAATCTTTAAAAGTGAAAATTTTCTGATATATTTCTTCTTTGGTTTTCAAGTTTAGGTCAATGTGAATAGTGATGGTAGTGATGAAGTGTCAAAGCTACCTGACATTTTTTTTAAGCTACGACTCAATGAAGCTTATTTTTTTTACTAAACTCATAACGTTTATTGTTTGATTTGTGACTGAAATAAACAGCATGGTTATTTATGATGACGTTAAAAAAAAATCACTCCAAAATTTGAAAATTTGTGATGACAGTACCTAAACATGTGGTCTAGGGTATCGATTTTCAACATTTTCAAAAAAATTCCTATTATCACTTAACTAAGTGACATGGATTTTTTTTAATTTTTACCAGAATTGATATAACCTGGCCTTTCGCCCAGTGACCGCTTGATGTTGAGTTTTGGGACACCCTGTATACACAGGCAAGACGAGAAACGTTAAATATCCATTCAAGGGCTTATACTGTTGGATGGGTAACAAGAAAAATTTTCTCTAAAATCAACTGCGAAAATTGTAAAAAAAGTTAAATTGCAGAAAATGAAAATTCGACACACGCATTTATCTAATTAAAATAATATAAATTACTAAAGCAGAGAAAGTTATCCTATCCAACAGAAAGTGCAGTGACAAGTTTCGGAGAAATAGTAAAGACTACGAACGAATATTTGGAAGCCAATGGATATCCATCCATCCATCCAAACGAAAACTAGTGAGAAAATTAAACAAATAATAATTTCCAATTATTCGTTCGATTTTCAGAACTGTGTAAAAGCACAAAGAAATAGTCCTTGATTGGTTTTTAAATATGTCTATAAAAAAATTTCATTTTTAACTGGTGCAACATAACTAAATTAGGAAATGATATTGTTCGGCTCGAAAAGTTGATGATACCAGCAATGCAAAGAAAAGCATTGAACAAATTTAAGAAAAAGTTAAAACTAAAAAATTGTACAAATATTTACATTGTTTTATTTTATATGCGTACCTAAATTTCAAACTGAAAAATATAATTTCGGCAGTACTCCTTGACGTGGCTGAATAAACGTAATCGTTGCCTACAAATTGAAAGCCAATTGTAAAAAAAATATTGAATACGAAAAAAAAGTCATGTTCTAAACTTTCACTACGGGAGCCGTCAATGTACAACACAGTAATGTCCAACACAAGAATGTACAGCACAGGAATGTCCGGCCCAGGAATTGGAGACACAGGTCACGTGGTATCATCATTTTTGATAGGTGTCGTACATTGCTGTGTTGGGCAATATAGGGACTCTTTCACTACGACACAAAGACCACTTGGCGGCCTGTAGTAATATCTTTCTAATTTGTGGTCTGTAGTAATAAGTAGTCTTCGTTTGTGCATATAATTATCATATCGGCTTAAATTCAACAAAGCAAGCCGTACGCGCATTGACTTACAATTATAAGTCAATGCGTACGCGTGACAAGTTTTAAAATAAAACACAAAGTACAATGAATTTGAAAATACTTTCAGGTAAAAATATAAAAGTTGTCCTAGCAGTATCTGTTGTGTTAGTAGGTTGTTTATTTCATGAGAAGTTACAGTCAATATACAGTACTTTTATGACATTTAACAAACATAAAGTTACTGGTGTGTTCCACCAGGAAGAGTTGACTCAGTTTAATGGAATACAAAATAAGAAACTGTATCTCGTCCTCTTGGGGTCTATTTTCGATGTCACAAAAGGGAGAGAACATTATGGAAAAGGTGCATCATATAATTATTTTATAGGTAAGTTATACTTTTTTTTTCAGTCGTGTAGTAGCTATCGGTTCGGGGTGAACATAATATTTACGATATTAGAAAGTTACTGGTGAGCATATTTTTTTTCAATATTTAAAATCAAACGCGAGTGGAACTTTAGAATAGCCGACGCCTCTATGACGTATATTAAAAATTAAAGGTAAATTTCCACTTTATCTTTCTAATTCGTGATGCAAATAGTACGAGTTAAAGCAGTTTTTGATATATGAGATATTTTAGAAGCACTCTTCACTACACTTTACTTCATGACTGCTGCTGCGCTGTAGATTTTCAACCTATAGTGTTTTTTTTTTAAATAGGGAAGTATGGGGAAATCTGAAATCATCCTCCTTATAAGAAACTGAGTATATTATCATAAAAAAAATGAGTCAATTTTATTCATTTTGTATGAAAAATATTTTAAGACATCTGATCAACTTGGACTGTCCTGATTGTTTTGTCTCTCACAATGAAATGATCCCTTCATGAAAGTGAGTCGATTAGCACTGAAAAAATTTTGATCAATTTTATTAATTTTTGTGGTCAACTCACGCTTGACCAAAAATCAACCATGCCAAAATTATTTTCACAAATAAAAAAGACTTAATGCTTCCTTAGACAG